CTGTTATGTCCTGGACCAGTACAGGATGCACAACAACGAGCGGCAATTTGAGGAGTGGAGCACATTGAGGTCTTCAGAACCCGGATGTAATATTCAGCTACCCGGTCACATGATATGTTGAACACATGAAGATCCTGACAATCAGATGACGTCACATGACCTGAATTCTTGGCACGATCAATATGCTTCTGTATTTCTGAATCGTCTGAAAAGAGAATGTGAAGAAATGTAATTCATACGTTGATTCGATATATCCTATTGAACTCAAAATAAAAGATACCGCAGAATCTGACACATATGTTTCATATTTAGATGTTTTCCCAGAGAAAGACACTGATGGCAAACTAACAACTAAACTTTCGATAAACATTACTTTAACTTTCCATTTTTTATGTAGCAATATACCTTTATCACCTGCATATTAATTGGGTTTATAACTTCCAGTTGATTCGATACGCAAGAAAAATGTTTTAAAAAACAATTTTTATAATGAGACAGGCCACTGACAAATAAGTTGATGATAGAAGGATATCAACAATCTCGTTTAAAGTCATTTTTCACAGATTCTATGATCCATACAATGACGTTGTTTGCAAATACGATCCGTTGTTACTTAAGTCGAATGTTGACTGACGTCTTTCAAACAAACTGTTAGGCCATTTTTTTCATACTGAATTGTCCACTGAATTATCTACGGACTTCTTCGTTTACCCGATCATTACAAGTGGCATACGGCGAGTGTGACCGGTAGACAGGGGATACTTACTCCTCCATGGTACCTGTACCCCCTCTGTTTTCAGAGGTCCGTATTTGCTCGACTCACACAATGTGTATTGTTGAATTGTTGATTTGGAGTTGTGAGCATGATTACTCTTCGTTATGAAATATATCAAATCTTACATATACTCCATCATCATTAAAAAACCTGAAGTTTATTAATGTTTGCTTGAAGATGTTTTCTAATAATTGAACATTAATTTGATTTATTGGTTATGCTTTACTAGAATTTGTGCTTGCTGGAGTTTTTGTATCGGACTAATTATAGCAGAGTACCAATTAAGAAAAAAATGTCACATTTAATCATATTTTCAATTCTACTGCTCTTTTAATGCGGTTATCTAAGCTGTATGAAACAATGTATTTGAGAATACTGGTAATTGAAAGTAAATATTTGAAAAAAAATATGGATTAAATATTGTTTACTTACTTGCAGAAACTATACAGAAAACACAAAATAAAGCCAGAACCCATGACAGGAAACTTGGTAAATTCATGATTTATACGTAAAAAATTAACATGAAGCACACAAACAAAGAAAATAAAATGGCAACTACAACAAAGATAAATAATAATCCTGCAAGGATTAAAACGTCTTTACTGATCGGGCTTAAGAGGTCAGATATTTAAATGTACATTACATTCAATCACCTAAACAAATGCAAAGATAAAGGTCTTTAATCCAAACCAAAACTCTCAGAGCTTTAGGAAACTACCAAAGATGAATAGAAATACCACTGTGTCGATCATATTCTTCTTCAAAAAACAAAATGGGTCAAACCCTTAAACCTATATACTTTCATCTAAATTATAAGATGCTTTCACCATTAATAACTTATTATTATATTGGATATCTAAAATTGGATACCACACAAGCAACAGAGTATTCACAAAAAGTTACCAATTTCCTTGCCATTAACTTTTGTTGTTTGATAAATGTAAAGTAAAACTGTTTACTTTTTCAAAATGCATCACGATCTCTTGGAAAATTTTTTGGCCTTACCATATATGGTATTTCTATACATATTTCTATACATATACATCCCCCGATAATATGACAGTGCAGTACTCAAAATATGCTTTTCAAATGACGTTAAGGCGACTTCGTATTTCAGACCTCTACCACCATTGCAATTTCTCTTACCTAAATAAATGGAAGTGTTTGTTTAGGTCTTCTGATGCTCTCTGTCCTTCTGATATGAAATGAATTTAGACGTTTTTACATATTTGATGTATGCAGTCTCACCAAGGATTTCCCTTGGAAGCAGACGTTAGGAGAATATTGAAACGTACTTAGTATAATTCTGTCGTTTTTTTTCAAAGTGCCGTTCCTCAGTTTAAATCAAATACATGTACAATTTCTCACCTTTACTGTATGCTTCCTCCCTCTCTAAACTTTACTATTGATTTCCCTCATCTGTTCAACTTGCTATTGCTTTCCTTCCACTATACACTTTGTTATTGGCTTCCATCTTGAGTTTTAAACATTTTATTCTATTTCCTCCTCTGTATTTAACTACTGCTTGTTCTCTCTATAAATTAATTACTAATGCCTTAATTATTTTCTCTTTACTATTGATTTCCTTCAATAATTTGCATTACAATTTGCCTTTTTTCCTCTTTGCTCTTAGTTTTCTTAGTCTGTAAACTTTGAAATTAGTTTCCTTGCTCTATGGACTTTACTACTGCTTCCATCTTCCATATATTTTCAAATCTTTCCTTTGAACTCTTTATTATTGTTTTCCTTCCTCTATATATTTACAATTTTCTTTTTTTTCCCCATATATTAGTATAATTATTTTTCTTGTTCATACCAGAACACTAAATTGTATGACAAACGGAATAGCATCAGCTTTTTTAATCATTTATCTAGTAATATTCCAACATCAGTTGCATATGGTGTCTATGTCTCACATCTGATTCGATACGCAAGAGCATGTCTTGAGTACGATCAATTTTTCAACCGAGGCTAGCTACTGACAAATAGGTTGAATGTGTTACAAGGATTTCAACAACCAAACCAGATTTTTACAAATTTTACGGTTGTTATAATGACCTTGTTTGTTAATGCAGTCTATAGTAGTACTTCATAGGGCGGGTGTGACCGATCTACAGGAAATGCTTACTCCTTCTAGGCACCTGATTCCGATCTACAGGGGATGTTTACTCCTCCTAGGCACCTGATTCCACCTCAGAAATTTCCAGGGTCCATATTTTATTTCCTGTTCACAGATTTGTATTGTTTGTAGCTTTTTGAGATTGATCACTGTTCGTTATTTTCATCTCTTTCATTCGTTTAGTTTCCTCACTCTATAGACTTCACTACTGGTTTCCATCCTCTGAACACTTTACTACTGGATTCTTTCTTCTACAATTTTTAATCTCCATTTCCTTGCTTTATATACTTTAATACTGCTTTCTTTCCTCCGTAACATTTTACTATACTTTTCCCTGAATATTTTACATTTTTTCTGTCCTCTAAACACATTATCTACAATTCCAATTTAACATGTGGAATCATTCATTTTTTTGCAAGATTTTCAAAGCAGATATACGCATAAGTAAGTTATATGTATATGTAAGGTGTAAGGTATTTTTAACCTATTGTGTTCCATTATCTTTTCTCCTACCAACCCCCTGCCTCTCCAACTTCCTATGTGTTAGTAAACATGCCTACCACTTTATGATATATCCAAGTAAAGATCATATAATTCGTTAATAAAAAGAAAATCCTTAATGTAATTTTTTTGAAATACATGTATTATGAAAAAAACTAGTTAGTTAGTTATCTTAGCTCTATACTTTTGGCCCCTTTCCAAAATGTATATTTCAGATATTTATATCATGAATATTAATATACGGAATGAAGTAAATTATTTTATATCAATACTTTTATTTATTTATTTTTTATTCGACCCGTGATGAGAAAAAAGAGAAAAGTCACAGCTTGGATTTTTCACACATTCTCTAACATATCACATTTAACAATAAAAGTCAAAAGAATACCAAGTATTTGTGTTCAGGTTAATTAATTGTCTCAAGAGGAACAAAAAACAATGTTGAACATATTCAAATAATGTAACTATCTAGAAAATGTACATATCTAACTTTACAATTGTTTATCATAATTATCAATTACAACTGTAATTGATTTTATACATCTATTGAGTGCACACGTGTTGTCACGATATCGATGATAAATAAGCTGATACAATAAAATACAAATAACTACGAATATTAACAGGTAAATTAAGAAACTTCAAAAACATATGTTTTTTGTATTATTACAAAATACAAAATCTTTTTGAATATTTTGTACAAAATGTACTTAAAATCTGTATATATATCGTAGATTTTTATTGTTGCAACAGACAATATGAGTTACAGTATAACACGTTGGTATGATTATGTCATAAATAAATAATTATTATTATTTATTGTTCTATGATTTTATATAAATATAATTAATGTTCTTTATTGGCTCATTTGACCGAGCCACAAAATGTTCATCAAGGTTAAATATAGGTGTTTTTGAAGACGTTGTTACTCTATAGTTCATGTTTCGTAAAACCAGAGACATCTACAATATTGCAACCGCTAAATTTTACAATTGCTGAAATGAAAATTTCCCGAAGGTTACATTTTATGTAATCAATCTGTTGACTTAATGTTACATAAACTCCTTTAATTAAGATATTGATTAAGAAATTTTCTCTACATTGAAGGCTAACACTCTATAGATAAAATTTCTATATTTATATCATTCGACTCTTAACTTCGTATACAGAATTGCAATAAAAGTTTATACCAAACATGCCAAATTACATCCAAATCAAGATTTTTGAAATTAATGATCTCAACAAATTACTGAAATTCAAATGACTCAATGTTGGGGATAATCAATAATTCTTATAATTACACCTGTTCATACACCATATATATCAGCAGTTGAAATAAAAAAATACAAATAACTTGTAGAGGTATGTATACATATTGCACATACATTATAAAAGACTGATCAACAAACAATTTCCTAGCTGTCGTTGGTACTTGGATAACACTCTGAGAGTCTAAAATTATAAACAGATACTAACATCAACACTCAAACCTACATTGTAGATAGCCTTAAAACTGTCTTGCGGTGCTTGTGATCTGATATAATTCGATTACAGTGTAACAAACATATTCCAACTATATTTCAGTGTCAAAATTCTGACCACTAATCACACCGCTGTTATGGCGTCTTTGCCGTTTGGGATATCAACTCGTACAAGGTTGAGGTTTTCTTTGTCCTCGTTGTGTCCGGATAACTCGTTCTTGGATAAATGGTAAACAATACCAGCTCCAATACTGTCTCCGACAACATTTGTCATCGTACGGAATCGATCCCTATGAAAGTATTTAAATTCATAAATGCATACAGCATGTACAGAGCTTTAAAACAAACAAAAAGTTATTGCTATCATACTGCTAATTCATATCTTTGAAAAAATTCCTTTGAAAACAAATCTTCCTAAATGACACCACCGACACAAGTGTTAACAAATATCTTAGTACAGAAAAAAGATTGCAATGACATAAACACGATTAAGGAAAAATCCTTTTTTGAAATTTGAAAATCAAGCAGAACATTTTATATTATATATCATCGATGGGTTTAAAATATTTCGAAATAATTGTTTGAACTATTGTAGAAACTTACAAGAACCAATCAACAACAAGAATCAAAGTGACGTCATCGATTGGCAAACCAACAGCTGCAAGGACAATAACCATAGTGACCAATCCGGCTTGTGGCACTCCTGCGGCGCCAATGGACGCTGCTGTAGCTGTTATACTGAAAACGATTATATGTGTACTAACTTTAGTTAGAAGTTTAAACATGTAACTTTTCGGTTCGAGACTTAAATTTAAAATATCATCGAAATATTCTATAAAAAATACTCTCATATAAAAAAAATTGGAAGGCAGAGAATAAATATTATGCCTGATTGTCACTATTTGCCCAAATGACATATCCATATCGTTGACTTGTGCAATGAAAAGAGCTGCTACTGCTTCGTAAAGAGCCGTCCCATCCATATTAATGGTAGCTCCCACCGGAACCACAAAGCTTCCAACCCTTTGGTCGATTCCATTATTCATCTCCAGGCAACGCAGAGTGACTGGCATTGTTGCTGAGCTGAATCCAGATAAGAATTCATAATTGTAATGTAAATGAGAATTAATGAGAATTTGAATATTAAAGTAAAAATCTATATGTCTATTAAAAACGAAATTATCCTGGCTTAAATTGACAATTTCTGGCTTTTCGTATCAGATACGTTTTGTTCAGAATGTCCATGGCTTTAATCAGTTTTAAACCTGCTTGAAGTCCCAAAAGCTGTAGCCATTGCTTCCAGAATACCACGTAAAAATGCATATGGATTACGTCTGGTCAAGATGAAATACAAGAGAGGTAGAATAATGGCGCCATGGATCAGAAGTCCAAACAAAACAGTCAGGAAATACAGACCGACACGTGTCATCAGAACTCCAAAGTCCGCCATTCCAACAATTTTACCAGCGATCAGAAATGTTATTCCGATAGGGGAATACCTAAAGATATGTTTATTTTTGTTGAATATACACTGTATGCATATGAATGTGCAGTCTGATTACAATCTATCATTATAATGTACATTTATTTTTGTATCTTTGAAATTAGCTAAAGATTACTTGGATCTATGAATGGTTTTCAAATATGAAGAAAAATAAGTCCAACTTTATATATTTGTTATTCACAAAATAAAGGGACACCTGTAAAGTTCGTACTTCAGCCAAACTGATGAATAAATTTCTATATCTTGAAAATAAGGACAACATATACAGGTAGTTGTGTCTCTTTACATATGCTACTATGTGACAAACTCTCATACAAAAAGGGAAAAATGCCATCATTCTTATTGCTTTGTGGTTCCATCTTTCAAAAAAAAAAATCAATTCTTCTTTGCATTGTCCAGGGCACATCCAAATTCCTTGAAATATTTTCAAGGTCTCTTTTAGACAAATTAAACTAGTGAAAAAATGACATCTTTCAACTTCTCATCAGAAGTAGGAAAAACCGGATCATGAGATAGCACTCTACACAACAACATGCAACGTAAGCATTCAGATAAAGGTATTTTGAAATTCTGCTTTAATTACCAGCTGATGAAGACAACACACAGATTAAAAAATGGCATACTAGTACAAGTGGCACTTACCAGATGAAGACCACAAACAGCTTCATTGTACACTCTGTGACACAGTTGCAAAAATTCAGCAGTGGCTTTCCCTTCTCACCCATCCTGCCAATGACGATTCCAAAACACACAGAGAACACCACCAGTCCTAGGATGTTAGATTGACCTGTCTCTCCTTTCGAAGGTTCCACTGAGACAGACTCTGATGGATTAGAAGAAAAGTTGAATTAAAAATTTACCTTTTATGTACAATTAAGGTCTTCCAAAAGAAATCTTTCAATCTTTTTTTTGTACAAGGAACTCTGTTGTTTTCAAAATGTAGAAGGTTATTGAGGGATAATCATCAGAATTACATTTACAATTTACAAATATACATTATATCATCGCCGATTTATAAAATTTATTCTTAAATTAAAACAATCAGTGCCGTCGAGAGGGGGGTGTACAAACTGACAAATTGTTTAAGTTATATATGTGAAAGATTTTTTGATAATTTGACACTCATGTCTTACAAGGCCTTGAATTTTCATATCAACATAATTTGTATTCGCATGCATACCCTGTATATGGTATGATAAAACTATGAACTCCAGATGGACCATGAAGAGACAGTGGTCCACATCTTTATTTTTTGTTCTGTAACTGAACCCTATTAAAAGAATACGACCTAACATATTGCTTGACAATTTTTGTTAAGGACATAACGCAACCTTACGTACATTTAGTTTTGAACGTTTATTTATTTTCTTTCTTTATATTGCCCATATAATTGAAAAGTTCCAATAATTGAAGGACATGTTTGCCACTGTCATAATTCTTATAAATGCTGTACACATCTTTAAAATACATTTTGAGGAAATACCAGCTAAAACTATGTTTGGTAATTTTTTTTTTTTTTTGAATAATGCAAGGATTTTCATCATTTGATTTCAAAACCTCTGTTAATGTTCTAGTATGCTGATTTTTTGTCTAAGAACATCTAATGGTGCTAAGATTATAAATTAAGAATATCATGAAAAATTAATAAATGGGTAAGTTTTGTTGTATGGCTGTTGTAATGTACGTTGAGTATGACCTTAATATAAACTCCATATCTGATAAAAATTTGAATCTGCAATACGTTTGTGTAAACAAAATTACAAAAGAAACATTATAAACACTTGGGACCGTCTTGTTACAAAATTAATAATGAAGTGCTTAAAGATTGCCTTTATACCATAGAATATACATGTAGGTCTGACACATTTTGCCTCTCATGGCACCAGCCTGAATCAAACAAAATCTAACTGGTAAATCATACAATCCTCACCTTTCAGGACAAAGGTTGTATTTTCTGTGTCAGATGTAACATTTTCCAGAGCAATGGAAACATTTTCTACTGTTTTTGTTTCCTTAAGATCGGTCTTGTACTGAAATTAAACACTAGTAAGTTTAGGGATATTGTAAGGACAAGAAAAATAAGTATATAAATGCTGAGACTTATTTCTCGAGTAGAAACAATGTACTAGTACTAGCGAATACGAAGGGCTAAGATGTTTGTTATAATTAGTTTGTACAAACATTTAATACAATTTCCGTATATAAAGAATGTACTTTTAGAATTGGGAATGTTTCATATGAAACCAGAGGATAAAGAATGTATCAAAGTGAATATTATAGCCAATATAGTTGAACAAGAATTATAAATCGAACACTCTTTGATTTTGGATAAGTGACTTGTAACTTACCGCCGTGTAACAGGCAACAATCAAGTTATCAGGAAACATATTCCTGAAAGCAGAACAAAAATTTTCATTTTAAAAAGTTCATTGCAACACATCGCAATAAATTATCAACATCTCCGTCGGAATTTATTTCGAGTCAACACTATATTCTTTATGCAGAGGGAGGTAACGAAAGTAGAAATATAAACCGGACCGCAGGTAGCATTCCAATATAATGTATGCTAAAATATTTGAACTATAAAAGTTGCGTAGTACTTAGTTAATTTATGTTGACTTTATATTGACGTAAACGGTCAAAAGATGAGTATATACAAATAAAGATGGAATATGTGTTTACAATAGTTCATTACTAGTTCATTCAAAATGCATTTAGTTTCAAATCATTTAAGCTCTACACAAGCGTCTTTCAGTAATTTACAATTTTCAATTGTTAATAAGTACAATTTAAAATTGTAAATTAGTGAAAGACACAAGGAATAAACAAAATCGTGAAAATTTTTCGTATCTAGTTAGAGTTTAAATAAGCATTCTTTAAATTGAATTCTTTTGAAGAGATTCACATTGGTTTTGCCTATAAGATTTTCTGGAGTATTTTGCGGAAATGGACTTCATATTAAGCTTGATCCTCACGGAAAGATCTCTGAGAAAAAAGATCAATGGATCTAATGTCATCATATATGTTAATCTTTAAAATAGTTCGTTATCTTATTTGATGTTAGGCGAGAAAAAAAAGTGAAATCAGTTTTAAAGCTTTTTGTATTAGCACAGAGTTTTTGGTTAAATATAATTGTCGGGTATTTTAGAGAACATGATCAATTGTTGTCGGTTGACTTCTTTCGGCAGTGTATCTCAGTTATATTAACTACTTAACGATTTCATTTAACGGCGCAGAAATAGAAATCCGTATGTTTACTTGACAAATCATTTTTAAAAGCTCTTTAGAAGAGAAAAAATGAAAGCAAAACAAATCAAATGGGTAATGATCAGATAGGATCTTTTGTCAAATGTCAGACACAGAACCTCAAATTCTAAAATCTAGACTCCACATTGGTTCTAATATCCGGAATGCTACGCTGTGTTATTGAATGAAGTAAGCTGCAGCGCATTTAATTAGTCGATTACAGCAATGTTTGGGGACAGTAATCAATAAGAAGCTTTGACTAATATACAAGGAGACTCAGATATTGGTGGAACTGGTCGATTGACCTTCTCTCATTACTTTCTTTTTTTATTTTGACTCGTGAGAAAAATGTTCGAAGTACTCGCAAGAGAAGAACTTTACGTCACGAAAGTCTTCAAAGTAGCGCGAAAAACTAATCAATTATAGATGAAAATGATCACTTTCATGTCTAACGTAAATATGGACAAAGCCTCGTTATATGTTCCCTCACAAACTCTAGATTACAAAATTTAACGTTTAATCGTGAAAATGTACGTAATAGAACCGTTTTCATTGTTTTTACATAATGAAGGAAACGGGAATTAAACGGTAATTCATCAAATTAAAAGAGAACACCATAAATTCGCTGTTGGACTGATGTCACATAAAGAACGTTCAATTGCTGATAAAAGCAATAGATAACGCAAAATTAGTATTTTTTACGTTCAAGATCCAGACAATTTATTATCTACGTTGATATTTTTGATTTTAGAATTCTGTTTTGTTATAATTGCTAGAAATTAATCTTGCCACATGGTAACAAAATTGACATTTTTTTGTATTGTTGACCCACCAGCGGATGTTGTAAATATTTCATAACTCATGGCGTGCAGCGGGTGAAATACAGGGAAATTGAGATGGAATGTCGGCAGCACCGTAACAACAATGTAGATTATCATCAGGCTTCTGTGACCTTTGTATTGTCTTTGATAGTGTTGTAAGCCAGATTAAATATTCTACTGATGTATGCTTATTCTGAATAATGAGATCTTTTGTGCATAGATAATAAGGGATCCAAACGCCAGCAGAAAAATCATTGCCAACCAATTAAAATTAATTTTTGTATTATTTGTAAAGAGATTTTTGATGACAATGTGCCCCGACTTCCTATAAATGTTATTTCAATAATGTCTTCATATAAAAGCTATTCTTTCAGCCTTCCAAGCTGCATCTTATGCGGAATAAAAAAAATCTTAAACTTCTAGTTTGTGTTATAGTATGTGCATTATTGGAGGCATTCTAATGTTTTCAATATCCATTAATTCATTTTTTATACATCAAATATGCAATATCATATACCATACTATTTCTGTATGGAATTATTAGTGATTTTAAAAAGTTGTGTGTGCGTGTTTGCTCTTGTAATTATAATGAATAGTGGTTTCGTTGCGATTTTGATCGCAAAAATACCGCGAATATTAGTACTTCGCGAAAAGTCTGCAACACAGTAAAATTTCAAATGATGGAACACCCTGATATTCTTTATATCCTGACTTTGATTTCAATCCAGTTCTATCACTCTGTTAAGCTCATTTAAGCACATTTGATAAACTAGGACATGGCTATTGTATCGTGAACAATTTCAACTTTTTCAATTCTTAACATGCTTTTCCGAGGTATTCAATTAGAAGCGTGCGAGTAGTTTGTAATAATTTTGATGATCTTTGTATTTAACGGAACTCTGTGGTTTATACTTGAGTATTGTGTCTTCAACAAAGATTTATTTTTCATTACCTACAGTGTAGCTAACATACAAAATGACCGAAATACATGGTTGTTGTGAGGGTTTTCCCGATCTCACCTGATAAGATCCAGAAAGGTATCCACGGAGTTCAGCTTTTTTGACTCCCCGTATCTTGGGATTTCTGTGTCATCGCCATTAGCCCCGGGTCGGATTGAGACGGCCATGATGATACCCAGGATAACAGCCAACAGTGTAGTCGTGCCAAAATACGCCATTGTTCTCAACCCCATTTTGCCACATGTTTTAGCGTCAAGTCCCGCGATCCCGCCAATTAAACTTGCAATGACCAATGGCAGTATGAGCATCTTGAGCATGCGCATCAGCATTTCTCCGGGAAATTGCAAATACATAATTTCTCTTTTTGTTAATTTCCCTGTTGCTCTTATCCCAAATCCGATTGCACACCCAAACACCACCGACAGCAGCAACAGAACCAGAATAAGATTTTGTTTTAGCCCTTTTCCGCATAAATGTAACATGTTAGTTCCATACCTTTTTTGGTGTGTTCCCTCATTTTCATACAACACCTGAGTATCGTACTTTGTGGAAGAATCGTTGTTGTACAGAAGTTTAGATTCTGGGTCCACTAATGTTTTTGTTGGTGGCTTATAATCCATGTTTGCCCTTTGATTTCCAAATACGGTATACTATAGAATTCTATATATTTACATAGTCGATGCACTACTCACAAGTTTTTGATGAAAGAAACCTTTGTAATGTCTTAAACAAAGTAAAGGACTTTTCCCCCACCAGTCGGTAGGTATGATTTTTAGTATACGCAACTAAGTAGACCAAAGACATGGACAAAAACTACTAGGTAGATACGAGATCATTACGAAATGCGCATGCGTGAGAGGCAAACTCATCCATCAATATAAAAATACTTATTTGCAGCTCTACATTGGACATTGCCGGATAATGAATTGCTTTGGAAAGTAAATCCACACACAGCATAGATAGGCCAAGGTATGGGGAAAGGAAGAAAAGAGTATTTCACGAGATCGATGTGAGCGGCATTACTGACAGTATCCCGGCTTTCACCTACCGGCAGAAAGTTCAATCGACTTTCATCGCAGGATATTTGTTTACTAACAGGGAAGATTGAAAGTAAATTAAATGACACATGAAAATGGGATGACCCCTGGTCGTCCTTTTAGCTCCAATATGTTGAAATGTCTTAATCAAAAGTTAAGAATATTTTTGGTTGTTCATGAAAACAAGCTGTATTTGAATTAAAGCACCTATAAAATGTTCTTATCAGCATCATAGATAAAGATTTGAAAACAGTTAATTGTTTTACTCTGAGTGAAGACTGACCGGTTTAATACGTAAGAATAATAATATTTGATTTATATATATAGTTCGTTCATTTTTAATACATGGAAAGGTAAAGTCATACTTTTCTTTGAGGATGTTTAACCGAATCATAGAATTATTATTTTATTTGAAGTAACTAAATGTTGCAATATTTGAAAATAAATATTCCCGACTACATCCATCGATTATTTTCACACTACATGCATCCATTTTCTTCATATGTAAAGGTAAACAAAATGACTCATAAACAGGGCAAAAAACACGGAGACCCTGGAAACAATAGAGAGGTGACAAAATCAGACAAAATCTATGAGATATGTTATGAAAAAATGTTAAGCATTCGAGAGCCATACCTGTAAAACGGATATCTTCTACAGTAGCTTTCAAGAATGGTAAGTTAAAACGTAGTCCATAGCTTACATTTTAAGAAAATGGATTACAATTTTAGATATTCATATATTTTAGACATGCAGCAACATTTGTACTGAAAACAAATTTTTTTAAGTGTCGAATTTTAGCATGTGTAATGGCAAGAACTGCAATCACTTGTTCCACTAGCCCAGGTAAGATCTCTTTTGTGTTTATGTATGTCTCATACATGTATTTCCCCTCTATATTTTGAACTCCATTTGTCTTAAATTTTAATGTAGTTTTCAGCCTAAATAAAGCTTAGCTTATCTTGTCTTGGTACATTATAGAAAAGATAACAAGGTTACCCTACAATTAGCCCTTTCACGATAACTGCGGTACTAATCTTTTGCAGGGCAAATTAACAACATTTGGCGAAGTTTTTGATGACATATAATTAAATGACGTATATTAAACAATTACTTTTACGTCATATTTCACCAAAATATATCAATTTGCCCTGCAAAAGAGCAGTACCGGAATTATCGTGAAACAGTCCATTGTCCAAATTCCATCAATGAAGACAACTAGGCTTTTAATATTATGGATAACTGCTTCTTCAATAAAAATGGATCTTGTAGATTTTGACTGGTCATCAACAAATTCAAATTACTTTGTTAAAAATCACTCTGATCCTACACATAGGTACCAGTGCTCTGAACTTAATATTAAAAGGTTGCTGGAGTTTTTCATTGACAACATTTATGTAGTCTTCAGAGATCATGGGCCTATTTTACAAAAGAACTTGCGACTAAGACCAAAAATTTGAGGCGATTGTAAAATCTTGCACAATTGATGTTTCTATTACAATTTGCTAGCATAAATATATCTTTCTAAATTCTTTTTCAAAAGATTAAAACCATTGTCATATTAACGAAAAAGGAAAGTTATTTGCAAAATTATATTTTGGTCTTAGTCGTCATTTATTTTGTAAAACAGGGCCCAGGTCTTCGTACAACTGTTGAAATTTCGATGGGCATTAACTGTGCTCCTTTATTAGCCGACTTGTTTTTATATTCTTGTGAAGTAGAATTTATTCAAAAACTTCTACATGAGAAGAAGAAAACACTTGCTGTGGCTTTCAACTCGACATTCATATATATCAACGCCGTTTTATCAATTAACAGAAATTACTTCCATTCAAATGTCACTCGATATATGCCAGTGAACTTGAAATTAAAAAAAAAAACACCACAGAGTCTTCCACATCTGCTTCATATTTGTATGATTACTGACCTTAGAGATATGGGCCAACTATCGACTAAATTGTACGACATACGAGCTGACTTCGGCTTTTCCATCGTCAACTTTCCTTATTCATGTGGTAATATTCCGCTATCACTTGCATATGGTGTTTATGTCTCCCAATTTACTCGACACTAAAGAGAATGCTCCGAGTACAATCAATGTTTAAACCGAGGCATGCTACTGAAAGATAAGTTGATGTTGCATGGATTTCAACAACCTCGTTTAAAGTCGGCATTTTTAAATTCTATGATCGTTATAGTGACCTTGTTAACAAATATTGTTACCCTATCATTTGGTGGTATTTTGGCTGATGTGTTTCATACAAATTATTAGGCCTTGTTTTTATGCTTAATTTGACTTCGGATCAAAGTCACTTTTCAAAGATTTGTATTGTTTGTAGATTTTTTGTGATCGCCGCTGTTTGTTACTTAATACCTTTTGACATCGTAAATCATTTTTATAATAAGCCTTAAGACATTTGGAGGGAGGCAATGATCTCTATATAATGAAATGTAAATTGTTTGGTTAATAAGAAAGCACTTATAATCAGGATATGATATTTGTTTGATAGTTCCCTTGTTAATAATTTCTGCTTAAGATTGTTACTTGCCACAAAACTAGAACTTGTAATCAAAGGAATTCTAGAAAAATATACTGTAAAAAATATTCTGCATTCAAAATTTTTGTTTTCTTCACGTCCGTTTGAGAATGTTCAAATGTGATAACAATCGCAAGAGAAGGCTGCAAATTTAGATTTGTATTCAACATCAATGGCCCATGAACAGAATCGAATTGGTTCTTTTTCGTGCTAGTACCTTCTGTGATACGGAACCTCAGTTAATACAGTTTTATCCGAAGGACCTATCTCGATTTCTCTCAGTGGGATTCGAACCTGTGACGTTGATATTAACTCCTTACTCCACGAATCAAGAACAGAATACTCTAACCATTGCGCCACGCGAAACGACAGTGATGTGATGCAATGAACAAAATACATGTACATTACTTATGGGGCATTTTTCTTTGTCAAACGTAGCTAAATGGAAAATTCCCATACACTACAACTGAAAACAAATCAATTTTATTCATCACAAAGCAAAGATCAATTCAGATACTGAAAAATAAAAACAAAATTATTGAATAACTATTCAAAATGTTGGTTCTGAAACTAGTTCCTCTAGTTAAAACAATATGTATATCATATGTTACACTGTATACTAGAATATCAAAAAAATTGACTCGTTAAAAAAATTCTATTTTCAAACCGGTATATGTTTTATTTTATTTTAGCAATCGCTGTGGTTTACTCATCCTTATTAACCGGGTGTGAATATTTACTTCCGGGAACTAACAATGACAAGGTAGAACATATAACAATGATAATGAACAGGACAAGGAGTAACCTGTCAATCACTAGGGCTAACTGTTGCCATTCATTCTTGATGACGTCACGCCTATCTTGTTCAGCCATTCGCTGATCATTTCGGTCGATAGTCTTGTTAACTCGTTGTAATATCCTTGTGAATTCTTTATGACATGGGTCATCTGGCTCTGTTTTCTGCATGAGTCTAGGGGACATTCCTCCACCACCGTTTGATGCAGGCGGTGGCTCGCTGTCGTAAATAATATATCTCGGAGAGGGAACTTGTTCCTGTTTAAATAGAATTATTTGAATTTTTTTAAATATCATGTTCCCATACACATTTTACAGCAACTATTTAAGATTTACTAAGATATTAAGCAGCAGCACTTTTCAAGTAAAGGAATGTTTCCGTTATGCATATCTAAAAAATGGTCATGATGTATAAAGTGTATGCCCTTGCGAAAAGAGATTTAATGAAGCACCTAGCCGTAAAACATGCGAACCCTGTACAAAAAACAGGGCAGAATTAATTCAATACATTCTCTCGATAGTTTTTAAATGATGACACTAAACAAAGGTTTCAGATTTAATAGTCTATCTAAGATATGCAAATAATATTCTCTTTAGTAATAAAATGCATTTTTCTCTGTGAAAAAAAATTACTTGATCTGCCTCTGACTGCACATAAAATGCGTCAAATTTTACCATGATGTCACAGTAAGCATTTTCAGATTAATTTAGGCCCCGCCCCTTTATGCAGCCTTACCAGAGCTGCGCATTATTTGGGCGGGGGGAGGGGGGCTAATGATCTTGGGTTTCGTTGATCTCTCATACTCACATCCCAGTGAACAATAACTCTGTCAACGTAACGGTTCATGAACTCTTTTGAATATACGAGTTACCAAAAAGTTACGTTCTCACGAACCATTAAAATTTTGGTTGCTCAGGAACATTCATGCATTATAACGAATTATAACGAATCCACATTATTTACATTTCCAACTGTCTTCTCCGTGATAACTCTTTGAAAGTTAGGTGTGTTGATTTCTCGACATTGCTTACTGACTGTATGCATGAAATATATGGAGATAACGAACAGTATTCAAGCTCAAAAGTCCATAAAACAATACAAAATAGGAGCAGAGCAAACACGGACCTCCAAACATCAGAGGTGGGATCAGGTGCCATGGAGGAGTGAGCATCCCCTGCCGACCGGTCACACCATGTGAAAGGTCAAGTGCATGTCAATCTCTCGCAGTTGTCTTTGTGTCTGACGTCACTGAGCGGGAACTATGGAAATTTACATTGAATGCCTCGTGTATTTTTAAATCTATTGCACAGTATTTTTATATGAATTTTACATTTCTTTTTCACATATATATGTAAATATAAGGAATCACTGTCTAAGTTGTTGGGTATGCCGGGGACATCAAAGACAGTAGGACACGTCGGATAATAACGCCCATTATGCAAATTATCTCTCGCAGCTGTCTTTGTGTCTGACGTCAGTGAAAAAAAACGCTCATTATGCAAATTATCTCACGTTTCCAACAATCGCTGATGCTCTGGCACACCAAACAAATACTCAATAAGTATTCACAATATGCAGATACTTCCTTATGATGAATGGCTTACTGTAGCTGTACCTTTCCTCAGACATTTTGTCGTGTGGATTTTTCTTAAGCCAAAATTTAAAAAAACCTTCTGTTATCCTTCCAATGCATAAATGTACACTAACTTATATTTCATAAGAAAGCTTTTAAAAGACCCTTTCCTCTCTATATATTTTAACTATGAATTATTTTTCTTGGTTGGGACTTGACCCGTCATTTGATCATACCTGTATATGAATCTCTCCTATACAAGGACGCTCTGGTTGAAAATGAAAAGTTATATTTAAGTTTAGCATAAGGGCACCTTACCATTCCTTCTTCAGGAGCGACTGGTAAATCAATCTTGAGAAAAAGCATCCTGGCTACAATTCCAAAGAAAACACGTTTGAGGCAGTAAGGAACTTTATGACCACGTAATCCCTTGTGATGGACGTTCAGAGTGAAGACATTGAGCGCTGTTGATAGGGAAATAAGGGCAATGGACATGCCATAATAAAGTCCTGAAATGAGTATTGAGAAGAAGGATTTAATGGTATTATTTGCTTTTTTTATCCACATTATTGAATTGCTACAGGGCTCTAATTGGCGACTAATTCAGTCGCCATGGCGCCTAAAATTTTTGATTGGCGCCTAAAAATTTTTTATAAGTCGACAAATTGGCGACCATTTTAAATTGACTTGGCGATCGTCGAATTCCGGAAATTTTCACATTTATAACAATTTTTCTGAAAAAGCGAAAAGAAATTTAAAAGAAGAGGAAATTATTTTTAGCAATGGACATGTCGTGTTTTCTTAGGCATGTCATGGGTTCCTTTATTCTATTAACTTTTAAAGTTGGTGCCTTAGAAAAATGGCCTGGCGACTAAAAATTTGCATTGGCGACTTAATTTTTTTGATAAGGCGCCAGCTGGCGCCGAAATTTTAGAGGCCACTTAGAGGTCTGTGCTAGGTACATGTACATGTAGTTCAATATTCCTTCCATAGATTTCTGTTAACGAGTGCATTACTAAATATAAGAGTTGCCTCTAGCGTATTATGTACCCGATTTGTTTTAGGCTTATTTTAATTCCATCAAAATATTAAAATATAATGTAGATAGTTTCTTAGTTTGGATCTGTGTTTCTTGGTAGACTTTTGTAATTGCTTTGAATGGAAACGTATAATTTTTTTTTACGATTTTTCATTTTAAATATTTTTTGCTGTGTAGTGATATATTCAAACACTTTAGATGCATTTGTATTGGACTTTTGCGAGAAGCACTGACTTTTACATTCGACGGCTTACTTTGACATTTAAACGTGTTATGTACGGAGGTACGGAATTGATATTAGATTAGAAAACCTTACTAGTGGTTATAGGTATGTTGTTAGGGGCACTTGCATGATTTATAGGTATGCAATCAACACAAGAGATGATGAGAGGCAGAATAACATACTTAAAATATGTTATTCGTAAGGGGTAGTATCTCCTTTCAATCTCATTTTATGAAGAAATCAAATAAAAAAGAAACAACATTTCGGAATGAAAACTTGGCAGTAGTTGGTCAAATGGGAAGGGAGAGGGGTTAGTATAGGGTGTTTCGTCTTCTCCTCCCTAGACAATGTAATATGTGCTTTGAAATGACCAATTATTATCGTTAATTAACTGTTAAGCTAAATATTTACATCGCAAAAGAGCTGCCGTATAGTGTCCCAGTGTAAAAGTAAGACGTCGATTGTAAAAGTCAGTTCTTCTCGCAAAAGTCCATTAGTGCATTAATAGGTTAGCACTTATTTTAATTGATGCACTTCTTAGTGTCAGACTGTACGTACATGTATATAAATTCAGCTAAAATAATTGCATTTTCAGCAATCACCTTCCTTAAGAAATAAATAACAGTGTTGAAAAGTATTGTTAACACGTAATTGTTGGTAGTTCACTTTATCACGACCGGCATTCCCATATGATTTGAATGCGTGTAAACCAAGTGCATCACTCATTAACTTTTAAACATTGTGATTAATTAGTAGAGGCGAATACACAAGTAGAATTATTACACCAACGACTCGTTGTACTGTAGACTGAACGATATGCCAGGCTGACCTACAGTTTATAAACTTTCAAGCGTTGAGAAACCTCCGAAGTGAACATTTAAAATTCTGATGTCCAGTATAAGTTCAAGAAAACGATATGTGCTTGTGAAACACTGATGTTACCGTATGGCAGGTCATGGAGAAGGTTTAAGTTTCTCAAAATGAAATGCAAGTCGATCTCCAAGGTCAAGGTCAAGAGATAATAAAAGTTGATACGAAAAGAGAGGTCTTGTCACAAGGAATGCATCTGTAATATTTGAAATATTCAGAAATTATAATCAAAGTTTAATTTTGTAAAAGTAGGTCAAACTCCATGTTTAACGTCATGAAGTAAAAAAAGAAAATCTTGGTACTTAAGAAAGAGTCATGTCACAAGAAATAAACACGTGAAAAATGACAGTCATAGCACCAACCTTTCAAAATCATGGCCAAGGATTAAGTTTTTTTCAAAATTAGATTGAACTCCAAGGTTTAAGGTCAAAATGGTTTGGTACTCAAGGAAAGGTCTTGTCACAAGGAATATACATGTGAAGTATTAAGCCCTAGCTCCAACCATTCAAAACAAGACCAAGGTTAAAGATTTCCAAAAGAAAGTAAATCTCTAATGTTTAAAAGTTAAAATTATTGGTACTCAAGGAAAGGTCTTGTCACAAAAAAATACACATGTGAAATATGAAATCCCTAGCACCAACTGTTTATGGACAAGGTAAAAGTTTTTAAAAAGTTTGTCAAATTCCAAGGTTAAGGTCAAATGTAAACAGATCTGCACCCAAGGAAACGTCTTTAACAATGAATACACATTTGACTAATGAAAGCAATAGTACTAACCGTTCGAAAGTTATGGCCAAGTAAAGTTTGAAAAGTGGGAAAGCTTCAAGGTCAAATATGTTGGTACCAGAAGAAAGATCTTATCACAAGGAATACGAGGGGTGATCAAAAAATTCGCGAACTAATTGAATAACTCCCTTAAAAGACATAAAATGATGTTTCAGTGTTTATTATTTTTGAAAGTAGTCCTCTCCGATTTTAATGCACATCTGCCACCGTTCTGCCCATGCGCGAATCACGTGATCCAGGCAGTAACGTGACATGCCCCGTAGCAATCTGTTCGAAGAAGCTAGAAGATTTTTCCGAGTCTTGTATTTCTTACCATGCAATTTATTTTTTATAACAAGAACAGTCCAGAAAATGACAGAAATGTCAGAAATGGCCAAATCTCGGCAATAGCATGGGTGGATAAGGATATCCCTTCCCACAATTAGTATGGTGACCCATCACAACCCGAGTTCTCTGTCTCGGGAGCGTCGTTTTTCCAATGTGGATAAAGTATGGCGGCCTTCTTTTTATCATATCTCATATATTATTGTTAAGATATTCAACCATTTTTCTAATTGTAACTTGACGACGTTTCATAACAAATTGCTCAACTAAGGACACATCTTTTTCCCGGCTTCCTTTCGCTGGGCAACATAACAAACATCATTTTTAACCATCTCCCTGCCTTCACTAAAATAATCAATCCAATTAATGATTGAACGTCTGGTAAGTCTTTTGTCTTTATAAACCTTGTACAAATTATCATCTTCTACTGCAATAGAATTTCCAAGATATACGTTAAACTTTACAGCCGTTCGTTACTCGAGTACGAAGTCAACCATTTTTTGTCACAAGTGACCTACATATTGACGTCATTTTCACATTGTGACGTCAAAAACACGGAGCAAAACATTATTTAACATGTTTTATTTATAGAACATGTGTATGATTATATGTATGCCAAATTTCATTCTGATCTGAATTGTGGTTTTGTAAAATATAGAGATAGTTCGCGAACTTTTTGATCACCCCTCGTACATTGTGAAATATGAAAGCCATAGCTTTAACCAATCAAAAGTTATGACCAAGGTTACAGTTAAACAGACAGACAGAGAAAAAATTAAATGCCCCCGAGTCTTCGACTTCGGGGGCATAAAAATAATTGCAAATATAAATTCATATTAACTTAATGGATATTATTACCAATAAGGGGAACAATGTCCGACACCGGTGGTAAAATATCTGCTACAATCATCAAGAAGACGGTCATAGATAGAAGTGTTGTTATCCCCAGTGATATCTTCTCTCCTGAGTCATTGGGCATGTAGAAACCCAACAGCGCCACCATTGTTATCAAAATACACGGCATCACCATATTAAACAAGTAAAACAGTGGTTTGCGTTGAAAAACCAGGGTGTAGGTAATAAATACGTAGGGCTCAGGACAACACGTGAAAATAACCACGTGACGTTTGAAACTGAATTCTAGAATCTCAAACTCTGAGCTATTCACATAGTTTGTCAAATCGCCCACTTTTGCTTCGTTTCTTATGTCCATTTGATAAGCATCGAAGGTCCACGATGCAAAATTCATAGAACAATTCTGTACGTCAAACGGAAAATATCGAACGTCGATAGAACAGGAACTTTTGAAAATCCACATGGATAACCACGTGACACTTCCGGTCTCCGATACGATGACATTAGTGCTGACTGAGGATTGCGCTTTTCCAACATCTGCACTGTTGAGAAAAGAATTTCAATATCATCTAGCTTTTCATTTGTTCAAAATACATTAATGACACGTATTACAAAAATCTGAGCTCTCTCTAAAGAAATTTATTTTGTGGCAGATCGAATTTCTGGGTGCATTTGTTAAAAGGACCCTTTTCACTGCTTTTTGTGTAATAACAGGTAAAAATTATGTTAAAGAAACATGATTCTTAATAATAAATCAAATCAAGAGTATTTTTTTTTAATTTTGATTTAATAACCATAAGATGGAAATTCTTTCTTTCTTTGCAGGTTAAAGTGAAAATTTCAAATGGTACTTTTTCTTAAACTCACTTGTCATAAAGAAGGATATCCGGACGCCATACTTGGTCATATGGCAGTCTAATCACTTTAATCCCTCCATATTTCCGTGGAACCCAACTCAACATATTGTCCATCCAATTCTAAAAAAAGAGTAAATGAAAAGCGGACCTTCGATTTGAATAATCCTTTTAGTTTCATATAAAGTACCCAAAATATATTCTCAGCCTGTTATGATTTTCCAGTGCAAAGTACGTATTTATACAGCTCAATAGCTAATCTAAAAGAAACTTTGTGATGGTACATTTTGTTTCCCTTTACATATTGTCGCCGGCAACAGTATGTCATACCCTTACCATGGCCGTAGGCACGGGGGGATAATATATGCTTGTGTCCCCTTAATGAAAACGTCTGATGACCTTAGTTTGCTTGTTAAAAGGAATTTTTGGTAGTTGATAGTAACCCCCCCCCCAACTGAAAAGGAATGACTACCCCCCCTCCCCCCGCCAACTAAAATTGCTTACATGTATAACACCATCGACAGTATGTGCCGAGACGGGTGTGTTGGTATATATTTCTGTCCTAATCATATTACTGTATCGTCGGCGACAATACACTGTATGCACCAACCTCACTGCACAAATTGTTGCCCATCGAAACATACTATCACCAGATAAACAAGCAATCTGAGAGTATTGCATTAGCAATACTAGTCCCCTACCGGCAAGTGTAATCTGGTTCCCGTTAAGAATTGAAAATGCCATAATTCCATCAAAAATTAATTAAGTGGGACGAAATGAAAACTTGATCTATAACTAATCAAGGTAAAGCCACATACCAAAAATCAGCTCAACAACATCTACAAGCGTTTAGAAGAAATTTGCAAAAAACCCTTAAAAATTGAAAAGGCCGTAATTCCGTCAAAAATCAATGAAGCGGAACGAAATGCAAACTTGATCTGTAACTCATCAAGATACACTCACATACCAAAAATCAGCTCAATATCTGCAAGCGTTTAAGAAAAAAATGCGGAAAACCAAGTGGGACAGACAGAGGGACAGCTGGACAGACAGACAGACAGACGGACAGACAGACTCAGAGGAAACCTATAGTCCCCTCCGGTTTCACCGGTAGGGGACTAAAAATTATACACGCACAAGTTGTCGCCAGAGACCGTGACCCAGTAGGTATTGCTTAATTTTTTTGCTTTGAGAACTAAACTGGTGTGAAAATCACACTGAGTTGTTAATAGGCATATTTCATGAAGTGCAAAATATCGCTATAGTCTGAGTATCTCTGTGTATATTGATATGCGTATGTTTTAATTACACAAAATTAGTATTCAAATCTAAAATTATATCTCCAGTTTTCGGGAGATTTCATGTTCACTAAAATAAAAATCAATGTATTTAATACACAACCGGCATTATTTTATTCTAATGAAGCAGCTGCAATGAAATGATTTCATAAAAAGTCAAGTTGCCCTGTGAAAAGGAAGAACTGCTTTCCCTGATCCCAAATAAAACATTCTTCAAACAATATTTTTAAAGAAAACATTTGCAAATGTTCACAGCATATATCATCTCCGGCCACAATATCTTCCAATATGTACGGTATATTTCATCGCCGATTCTAAAGGAAGAATAAAAAGTTCGGTGTCAATAATTACCTATGTCGTAGTCGGTGTCAATAATTACCTATGTCGTAGTCGGTGTCAATAATTACCTATGTCGTAGTCGGTGTCAATAATTACCTATGTCGTAGTCGGTGTCAATAATTACCTATGTCGTAGTCGGTGTCAATAATTACCTATGTCGTAGTCGTGGCGACAAAATATGAAGAAAAAGACAAAATGTGCCGCCAAAAGCTTGCTCTGGATAATTTTTTTCGTCCTACTGCGATCGGACAGAGGGAGCTTTTTGATATTTATATACATTTTTATTTTATCACTCTCCCTATATACACATTGCAGCTTGTATTAAATAGCATTACATGTATTTCATTACGGGTGCTACATTGGACTTTATTTGACAACTGTTCGTTAAAACTTTGATTTGTCTTTAGAGAAAATGCAATCCAACCTAACAAACTATTTTTCGATTAAAATACCACTTTCCACTTTACTTACGCGTTTTAATATGCACAGAAATTCTCAAACTACTGTGCTTAAGCGTGCTTCATGACAATGCCTACGTGAAAGGTCTGTGTCATTTCGCTAATGGCATTCACAAAAAAAGAAAAGAAAAAAAAAAGAAAAAAAAAGAATTTCCTTAAGTAACCATAACTGTGGGGTAACAGTATACAGCGTACACACATATTGTCGCCAGCGAAAGACCGATCCTGACTCAAATCCTCTCAGATAAGAAAGACTTCTACTAATTCTTTTTCGAGTGATGCAAGAAAAATGAAAACAAAATAAAGAATAAATAAACATACTTAATAAAGATACACAGTTTCCTACAAAATTGTGAAGTTATTTTATTAAATATTTGAAGAGCGTTTTGATCGGCACATGACAATGACTTAAGTTTGGAAATCAATGGAGGGAATCTATTTATATATTTTAAGTCAATTTGAAACATTTTTTATTTTCCCTATTTAAGTAATATTTCTAAAGAGCATTTGATATCTTTATCCCCCCCCCCCATTAAAGTTTTTCTACCTAATTCATACAAGAAAAGAATGGACCGGTAGTAAATTTGAACATGTCATAGATGTTGATTAAAAGAATGAACTGCACTGCAGTACATTGGCTGCTCAAATTATTCATCACAAACGGTTGATCTTTTTCAAATATGTGTTTCAAATGTACATGTACATGTATTTAGAATAAAAATGCTATGGAAATTTACATATGAATGAGTTAGGTTACGGAGAAAATACTAAGATATAGTTTCCCTTTATTATATAAAGTAAAACAAAAGACAAAAAAAAATTTTTTGATTTTTTTTTTGGCAAAAAATCTAAATGAATCGACGATGTAAACCAGTTGTTTATTATCTTAAATTTCATATGTATTTGAAGTAAATTTTATTGATAAGGTAAATGAGAAATAAAAATAAACCGCGCCTCTAGCTATATAGATACGTAGGAATAATTAATCGACATCAACATAGTGAAAAAGTAGTTGTTTTTCATAGATTCTGTGTAAATGTTAAATAAACATTGTCTCTTACTTTTTATTGATAAGCAAAAGGATAAATTAAACTGCTGTTCACCTTCACAGAATTATTTTATCATCAGACATGATTAGTGTGGTAAAGAAATGCTATGTACAATATAAACAAAATCAAACAAAAAAGTTTGTCAAAGGGAAATGGGAATTAATAAATTAAGATAGATTTACAACATCCTGGTTATCAAAAGCATTATATCACTTTATTCCTTCTGGTACATTGAACATAGCACTATCATTTTCTTTTTTGGCACTGATGTGAAAACGTGGGGCTTTTTAAAAAAGAACTTAATTAGCATTAAAGATATAATATATTGTAACGTGCAGAAAGTGACGCACACAAATGTGTCAATTTCAGTAAGGTTCTTTCTTGCTTCTTTTATCTTTCTGATTGTGTTAATCCGATTGCTGTCGATATGTTTTATTCTTCTTTGCCAAATTTGTCTTCGAATTAGAGACTATTTTTCGTTAATGAACTGAGTAATCGTAACATTGCGCTCTTTGAAATGTTTTTTCGACATCGATACATGTTATAGTGCACCTGTCTGGAAACTTGCATTAGAACGCTTAATGTCGAAACCTACTGGAAACTTACCAAGTGTAGCCAACAATTGGTTGTAATTATCTGATTCTTTTCATCCTACAAAATACAGAGTACTAAATCAGCATAATATCTGTCTCTAAGTAAAGATATATATTTTGAAAATCTTTCTCTTTCTTCTTAAAAGCTTCAAAGAAAACCATTTTCTATTTTTATGTCAGTTTGATGCTTCAGAAACAGTGTCATTGTATAAGTATACGGCAAATGTGAATTACGATCAACCAAAAAAGAAAGCGTCGTCTATTAAAGACAACATTATATCAGGTTATTAAAGCATTCGAATCATGAATTAGACATGAAGAAGATACAATAATTTTTATGGGGTTTCCTCTCTCACTGAAACATATGCAACTAAATCAACCCCCAGATCACGGTCTTTGTTTCCAATGCAGCGTTAACGTTGTCACTGTTGGGTTGTCACTTTAACTTTGGAACTGCGTGATTTGTAGGTGGTTCTGGACTGTTCAAGCCTTAAAAGTGAGAATCTATAGAAAAGTAATCCTTAGCTATAAACTCCAGGTCTAAAGACACAGAGATAATTTATTGTCTCTATATTTCTGGATGGATTCATTTTTCTCTTTAAAGTAATTATATATAATTGATTTAAAGTTTCTTTTAAGTTCCATGTGTTTTTTTTTTCATTAACTATTTTTTATGCTCAGATGTTGAGCAGGGAGTAAAATTACAGGGCAAAACTATCCTAATGATGTTAGATACTGTAAAAACCTTACAAAGGTATACGTTTACTACCTAAGCCAGAGTATCGATTTTGTTCATTGTCTTTGATTTAAGGCCTCTTAAGTAAAGAAACATTTAATTTGACCTAAACACATTCGTCGTATTCGCAATCTTCCCAGGTTATGTGGCATCCACAAGTTTTGCAAATTATTAACGGGAAAAGTAGACATCTTGCGTCAACGAGCAGTATATATATTTTGTAGAAAATTGGGCCGAAAAAAAAATATATTTTCCTCTTACTTTCTTTGCCTGACAAGGCTTAAAGAATAAAGTTACCTTGACTTTCAATTGAATAATATAGAAAAAAAATTTAGTTGGTCAAAGCATGATCTAATGATAATGCTAAATTCCTGAAGAAGAAAAAACATACACATGCCTAATACATGTGAAACTTGTCTAATCCGGATGTTGTGTATTCCGAAATCTTGCCTAATACGGTGTAAACTTCAATTCTGTTTCAGTTATTTCATTTCTTTAAAATGTTGTCTTATCCGGAATGTTATCTAATTCGACCAATTTGATTGGAACCAGTGGTGACAGGATTAGACAAGTTTTACTGTATATACTTATGTATACATTGTTTATTACTTGAAAAATGCTATAATATAAATAATGAATACTTCGTACCACATCTATGATCTGCGCCAGAGCAACGCTGAAGTTTATTGTCGTAGGAAGGGTGTAATTGATGGAGGGGCGGATCCGTTTATCATATCTGACCATGATATCTCTTATTAGACGGAACTCGTTTTCATCAGCTCTCGCTGAGAGAAACACTAAAATGAAATAGCATTATTTATTACATTTTTAACAGTGAAATACTATGAGCTAAAATTGAATAAAAGTGATATTCTGTCACAGTGTGAAAGGATATCAAAGTGATATTCTGCCACAGTGTAAAAGGATTTCAAAGTAAGTAATCATTAATTTCTGGCTTATCATAAGATAGAGATGGTAAATAAACCATCTTGATAGAGACTAAAAAAGAAAATTTCTTCCCAAATTGGTTGCTAAAATTCTAAAATCCATGTTATAATGTTTTCAATCTCATAATTGCTAAGCTATGACATCTCAGCTGCTGAACTACATGTAAGACGTCACAGCCTACGACACTGTGTTGGAGAAAGACAGGAGCAAAGAGAAATCAAAGAAAATGTAATAAACAGAAAATTCAATGTTTTGTAGTTGGATATGGACCACTCGTAAAATTTACGAGTGAGACAAGATTTTTTTTTTATATTTTCACTCGTGTTTCGCATTCGTGAAAATATAAAAGAAATTCTGTCCTACTCGTAAAATAAATTCCATATCCAACTACAAAACATTGAATATCCTCTCTCTCTCTCTCTCTATATTTAACAGCAAAAAGACATTGCAAGGTTGCACATTTTTAAGCAAGGAAAGACAACTCTAGAAATTATCATCCACATTAATTAATTAGGCTTAAAGAGCTCTTGTCGATTAATATTATGAAAGATGAATTGGGATATAAGACAAGTTCGAAGGAGATTCGTTAATTTAGACAAATCAAGATTGTCCTATCTCCAAGGAACAATTATTGTCTTTTTAAAAAATTGTAAATAGAAGCATAAAAATATTTTAATGGACATATGTTGCTTTGCAAAAATACCATATGCTATCTACATCTCACTAAAACGAATACATGTACCAGTTGAGATATATATAAGCGATATAAAATAATAATAAAATAAAAACCAATATAATTATTTATATGAAAACGAAAGTCGCTGTAGCCATTTACTTTACATATGTCATCAGAAAATACAATTCCAAATTTATTTTATGAAGTCTTATTGACAAGCTCCTGATTATTTAAAAAATGAAAATATGAGTTTATGGAGATACTTATTTAATTTTTCTTGAAAATATTTTGCTTTGACTTATATATATATTTTCTCTTTATGTAGGGCTTTAAATTTTTCTGACATATTATCTGAAGTTAATACAAAGTATAAGTAAGAGGCACCATTTTTATTGACAAATAAAAACACAATAGTTTTTTTTTTTTTTTTTTTTTTTTAACAAAATCAAATTACAAACAGATTACCTTTAAATAAGCAGCAGAGGAAGACACAATATGAAACCAAACCCTTGTTATTCTGCAAAAATGTCTCCATACCTGTTAAACGGGAAAAAAAAATAGGTAAAAAGTTAGTAACTTATTCGAGAGAAAGAGTATATTTGAATTAGCGCTGCCTAACTATGGAAGACACGTACGTGCATTTATATTAGAAAAAGTAGATAAAAAAAGAATACTAAAACCATTCTTATTTATATGATTATTTTAAATCTCCTCAAAATCACCTTAGAATAAACTATTTTAGCGAAAGCGACAGTTATCTGTGCTCCACTATTCATTAGTGTCAGACGTTTTTGCATTTGTTTGCGACAGAATGAACTTAATTCTAAGAGAAGCAATAGAGAGATCCCATGATTCTTAAGTTGAACTTCAATTGAATGGTCTATTTCGGTAACGATTTTCAGTTTGCTCGAGTTTATTGAATTCAGGCATTTTGCTTTGTGTGCGTTTCTCCAAGCAGTTAACGAATCTGGGAAAGTAAGAATCCGAGAGGAAAACAATTTCCTGATGTGATTTTTTGCCGGATCTTTCACAAATGAACCCTGATAATTATTTCACCATTTAAAGTGATTCACAGTCACATAGTCACAAAGGATATAAAAAAAATTCTAAAACTGGAAAATCAAAAGAAAAAAAAACAAGTTAACGTCTACTTTTTTTGGACAAATTGTTCTTTTACGGAAGGAAGGATTTAATATATTTATGCTTGTACTTTGTTGAACTGGCGGTATACTAATTACGGTTTATATCGATATCTATGATAATTGATAAAATGTAAGATTAAAAAAGTTACTGCATACAAATGCTAAATCGACTATTATAGAATGAATGTCGATATGTCACATTTGGTCGTACAAAACATCCACATGCCTGGTAATAGATAAACTGGCAAACCGATTGCTAATGTACATGTACATAGGAATAAGTCGATTGTTTCGTTACCATTGGACTTAAGACTCTCTCAGCGGTATCAAATACTAGGCTCATATTGTTCTGCTTTCTAGAATTCTGCGACAATATCAATTCATGTATATTGCGTAATTAATTGATTTCTTATTTACTATATATAAACAGGGTATAAAGATAAATAACCGTCTAGCAATAGTTTCTATCGAATTTACGAACGAAGCTGCATTTAAAAAATACTTATTTCTTCTTTGCCATCTTTCTTTTACAATTCTCTATAATTAAATAAAAGGTCACATCAACTTTTTTTTCATTTGGAGCTAATGATATGACTTAGAATTAACGTAAATATTCTTCTGTTAATGATTTAAAAAAAAAGGATGAAAAGAATTATATAGTAAGTGTATAAGAAAACAAAATTAATTTTTATATCTATTAAACTAGAAGTAACTGAAATTATTAAGTAAAATTATCACTTACTTCATCTATACACAGTCTTTCAATTTCCGATATGTAGAAAAAACATTTGAATTTGTAAAGTACAGTATTTAGGCAAGTTCCTCTCGGCAAATTTTAGATTAGTTTTTTTTCTCTCTAATCCATATCCTTAATTTATCTTTCTCAGGGCACCTGGTGTCCACCATCGCTGATTTACACGCTTAATTTATCAATTTTCCATTTCATTCTTCCCTTTTTATAAACATTTTAGTCTCCGCTTTTCTTGCTTGGGTAAAACTGAAAGAAAATACGTTTAGATTAGCAACAGATTGTATAGAACCGCCCCAGCTTCGCTAATGTGTCGATATTTTACTTCTTCATTATCAGGGACCCAAAGTTAGAAGAACAAAACATATTTCATTGTAATCTTGGGTTACCCATTACATCTGTTGCGGACCAACAAAAAGCGAAGCTGTTATTATTTGATAATCGGGCGCTATTGTTGATAATTCAATAACAACGTGTTCTGTAATTACATTAAACAATATATATTTTTGTACTTTTCTTTCAGCCAATGAACAATCAGACAGTGTTTTCGATGACGCAATATTTCTGCGCGGCGATTTGGTAGAAAAAAAAATTATATTGAAAGAAATGAAACAAAATGTCCTTGCTGGTAAATTTATTGCTGAAGTGGGTTTACATGCAAGGAGTCATTGATTATTTTGTATATCTAAGCTCTCATTAGCTGTGAAGGCTCCCAGTGTGCATCTTATTCCCTTGAATATATTTTAAGCTTTACGATTTTATATCTAGTGAGGTAAACAACACTTAATTTAAATCTATAAGATATTACTGAAGAGAAAATTTAACTCATTTTACTCATTGTACATATTGAAGAATTTCCACAAATCAAACAAACCTTTTTAAAGTCACATTTCTATTCGATACGTAAATTCTTTTAACATATGCATGCTTTTTTTAATTTAATCAGTATTTTATTATGTAAAGTTTTATTATATATATATATATATATATATATATATATATATATATATATAGAGAGAGAGAGAGAGAGAGAGAGAGAGAGAGAGAGAGAGAGAGAGAGAGAGAGAGAGAGAGAGAGAGAGAGAGAGAGAATTATCTTTTCTTTTACAGTTTTGTTCACCGTTTCAATTACCAACCACAGTATACTGGTCATTTCCTCTTTGATCTTGATATCCTTTGTACAGTTCGTTGGAACTTGATACTGGGAGTATCTTAATTAACTATAAAGATTTAGTTCTCTTCGCACAAAGACAAGCAATGTGTATTTTTCTGAATATACAAAGGGTGAGGATCATATTAAAAAATAATTTAATGAAATGTTTTTATGATGAGCAACTGAATATCATGAGGTCGTAGAGAATAAGCAAGAAATATAACAAATGTTTTCGTTAGTCCATTTTTCCTTGCCATGTTTTATTTAATTAGAAGCCAAAACTAAAAAAAATTTCTTCATTAAGAAAGGCCAGCATAAATATCTTTGTTAAATTGCACATATCTACCTTTATCATATTTTAGCAAAATGTGAAGGTAATCGAAAGTTCTGGATAATAACTATTAAATAGGCTAACAGCTACTATAGTAAGGTAATACAGTACTTATAGTACTATAGTTTCTATAGTAAGGGTATGGAGAAAAACAGAACTATTCGAGATACTTAATTAGAAAGAAGACTATAAGCAGAGAGTGCAGTTCGACATTAACAGTCTGGATTCATTGTTTTTCTGTAATTACATTTATGAGGAAAAAAGCAAAAGATTGGGAGGATAAAGAACGCATCAAAGTCTACGAGTGTCGTCTGCTAAGAGATTGGTGTCGTCTGCCCAGAGATTGGTGTCGTTTGGCGTAAGAGCCAATGTCGACGATCTTTATAAATTGAATGTTATATTGATTTCTTCCAAAGACAGAAAATACTTTGTCTAAATGTGAAAATACATTCCCTAAATCATCGTAAATTTTATTTTGGTTTCTCAGATTAAAAGGAAATCCATGTTTGTAAGCAGATTAAAGCGATATAAATGTGTTATATTTTTACAGACGGAATGTATTTTATTAAGGGATTAGCAACTAAGTATCTGTTGATCTTACGTTAATAAGTAATCAATAGACTTGAAAAGGCTTAATAATTTATCTTCTTTACAAATGGTCGGCGAATTTTTTGCCTGTTTGATTTTTTTTATCATTAACATGCATGGACAGCGTGTGAATGAAATTATTCAAAAAAAAAAAAAAAAAAAAAAAAAAAAAAAAAAAAAAAAATCTGCAAGGTATAAGAGAGACACATAGTCGCATGATTAACAGGTTTTGTTAGTATATATGGAAAAATATTTAAAATCATCAATATTTTTTTAATTATTATTATGTCATATAAATTTTGAGAGGTGCTTTGACGATGAACATTTATATACATGTTTTATGACCTTACGATACTTTCTTTTCATATAAATTTCAGTTGTGTGGTTAATATTGATGCATTATTCTGTTACCGGTTGGAACATCACACTCGACCTTTGCCGCCAGCCGAGATAAAACCAAGCGCGGATCCCCCCTCTAGATCTGCGAATGAAAACATTGCCTCGACTTGAAGGAAAAGGACGAGTGATGTTCTTGACTTGACGGAAAAGGCCCTGGGGATGCTCCGATTGTTCCATTAATTGTCTACAAGCTAAGTGTTAAAAAGATAGATGAGCTAGCGCGAGAGCCATTATATAATACAGAAATAAATATCTGGACCACTGATTCTTTTTGTTGAACGGATTAATTGTTAATAAGAGGACGCAGTGGTGCATTCGTGGTGTGTGTGTGTGTTGGGGGTGGGTGGGTGTTTAGGTCTCAGTTCAGAATGGTGAAACTCGAGTGGGCTTCACGTCGGCAATGGCATCACTGTGCTTTAAGTGTTCTGTAAGTCAGTGTAATTTGAATATATTGGGGTTAAAAATACAATTAAATTAAAAATACAATTGATAAAAAATACAATTATTTTGAGAGATTGGTAAAACTAATGAACACCTAGTTTAAAATATTCAATTGTAGCACTATTTAGTAGTAACCGCATCTTCTGCGGGATTTTCCGGCAACTCAGAAAATAATTTCCGAGCTAGCCAGAAAGATCCTGGAAGTCAGCAATTCTACAAGACGCTTGGCATTCTCCGTAAATATCCGCTGAGCAGCTCGTAGGAAATTTACGGAGTGTGAATAATTTCAAAAATATCTGTACAGGCTTGGCATAAAAGGACCGATGTTACTCACACCCGTCCTCCCCCGACTCCGCACACACAAATACACAAATAGATTTTTCACTTATGTATATAAATAAATCTTGTATATATTTAGCTGTTATGTACAGAATATTTTAAAATAAAGTCTAATTCAATGTTTCAAAAGCATAAATAGTAAAGACTGGGTTATTTTTTCTTATTTGAACTTTTACATTTAAATTTCCTTGTAAAACGTTAAATGAATTCCGCATAGAATTTACATGCCACATGTACTTCGATCCGAAAAAAGGAAAAATGGCAGTTATCAGTGGAAAACCGATGCAATGATGGATGAAATCCCTCAAACATATTTGCTTTTCATGGATAGTTTTTTGTGTGTCTTTTAAGAATGATAAAACCAGTGGTTCATGGTTGCAACATTGATTAAGTGAAATCCAATTCCCCCTCTCCTTTCCCATGCACTCAGCTCTCGCCATTTTTCAAACTCATTTAAACCCTATTTTAAATTGTACATGTTTTTAGAGTTCCGATTTTTATTCCGACTTCTTATATCTTTATCGCTGACAATTAGCCCAAATCTAAATGTGTTCCCTTCACTTCCGTTTTAAAGTCCCATTATTAAAGATAAAAAAAACCGCCCAACTTATCCGTTAATAATCAAGAGAGTTCAATTAAACGTGTTTACTAATCTACCCTTTTGTCAAAGCTAATCGTGATTTTAAGCTGTCTTCGGATACTACGGACACCACAGTGCAAAAGTGGGGGGTGCTTTTTTTTTTTAATTATTGAATAGTGCTTCGCACTTGACCACCCCATTTGTATGTACGATAGAGAACACGTCTCGTTCTCTAAATAATGCTTATTTTACTTGCACATGACCATGCACATGACCTTCCAAGAGAAAATAAGATGTATTTGATCTATACCGCACAAAAATAGATCAAGAAATTGAAAAAAATAATTACAAATGGTTATGAGTATTTTAATCCCTCTTCGACTGCAATCAAATGCAAACAATAAAGAAAGAAGGCAATGTTTGCTTCATGAGTTTGTTTCAATTAATCATTGAATTATACAATTATTGCTGTTTTATTTTTAGTCAATACGATGATTTACATTTAGCCACACTGGAAATATAATATTCATCTTGTCCTTAGGGCTCGATGAATACTGTACTTCTCAGACAGCTAATTCATTTTGACCTAAAAAAAATTAGCAATAATTGTTTTAGTATTTCATTGGGCAGACACTAAATCAGTGTTAAAATAAGCTGAACAGTGTGCAAAATTTCGTACTAATTAAGGCATGTACATTATCAAATAGAAGTGTACACGCACATTATCAAATAGTTCTAATAAAAAAATGTACTTCTTTAAACGTCATATGCCAGTATTTATTTATTGATGAGATTTCAGTCTTCAGTCATCGTATATTTATTCTTTCATGGTTATTTTCCTTTTTTTGTGTTTGATAATGCTTCTTGTTGCTCTCAAGATTAATGGAAAAAAGAAGTTCAACTTCTCGCAATGTTTATTTTACTCCAGCATAGTGCGGGAGAGATTTCTCATTGATTTATTTAAAAGTTCATTTGAAAAAGCTATATAGGAGATTAACGGCCCAACGTTTCTTGCCGATTTCTGAAAGACATAGACATTGCTTAGAGTTATTGCGTGCCATCTTACAGGCCTGAAAGCAATGGCAAACTGTCTCCGGGGCCATAAAACTTAGACGAGCTTACTTTTGATCTCAGTCTCACTTTTACAAAAGGAATAAATAAAGGAATAGATAGTGGAAAAGTGAGACTGAGATCAAAAGTAAGCTCGTCTAAGTTTTACTAAGTAGAACAAAATTTCATAATCATGATTGTAAGACAAAACTGAAAACTATGAAAAAACTGAAGATAACCAAAATTTATCATTAATTCTTTAAACAAAACAAATTGTAAAAAGGGCAAAAACATGCACCCCTTGAAAAGTAGATGTGTGGGAGGGGAGGGGGTTACCTAGGAGGAATAAGTATCCCCCTGTTGGCTAATCATATCCGCCATGAGCCCTATGTACGGATCAGGAAAGAGAAATAATCCGGAGTCAAGATAAGTATAGAAACATTTACTTAACAATTGGTACATGTATGAAGTAAATCGGTCAACATAGGACTCATCTATAGCTATAGAATGTATTTGCAAACATGAACTATTATACATTTTTTTTCTTCAATAAAATTATTTATCATTGCTTGCTTTAATTTGAAATTTTCAAAGATCGAAGACATTTTGGTTTCATTTAATTATTAAAAGAAAAAATTAAAATTATTCCAAGTTCACATTTTAGAACATTTTAGGTCAGTATTATAGAAAGACATCGGCAATGCATTTTTAATGCAGGAGTAAAATAGTCTTTCAATCAATAACCAGTAGAAGACAGATTTCAATGTGCCCACCCCTCTGCGACCCGTACACTGAAGATATTTGTGCTTGAAGAAAGGTAACTCTTGACAACACAATGTTCAAGCGTAATCCTTTTTGTTAAATAGCAAAAAACTAAAAAGCCTTGATAAAACTTGTATTTTATTTCTATTTCTTTGCAGAGTTACACGTTGACCAAAGTTTTTCACATGCATACAGAAAAGAAGTTAAGTGATAATAAAACTTTATGTATTGCATATGTACATCTGTGTCTAAGCATTTGTATCTAAGCACAAATCATGAAATAGGTCCCTTTGGCTATGCGCACAAAAGATGTTAAGAATATTGGAGTTATCCATGCAGACAAGAGATGTCACTTTACGATTAAGAATCATAATTAATACATGTACATTCATATTTTGTCAGATCAGACATAGATAGTATGGAAAGAAACAAACTATTTAAATTTTATTATATCTTATATCTTAAATCGTATGATAATGACACGGATGCCATGAGTAAATTCCTATAAAAATAAGCTGAAAATAATAAGTTAACATCTAGAGTGATCAAAATCTTTCATTTTTGATGTATACGTACGCAAAATTTTCAAATACATGTACACTATTCAAGGCAATTCTTTTTTTTAATGAGACTGTGAACAAATGAAATACTTTTAATTGAAAAAATCTTGCCTCTTATACACAGAAATAAAATTGTAAAATGCATGATACACTGAAAATACCTTGAACATTTAGTCTGAACAGAAAATGAATAATTATTTTTTTAAAAAAAAGTGTTAAAAATTTTATTCGTAAATTGGTCCTAATTTATAACGAAGAAATGCATTTAATTCACAAAAACAAAGTAAAATATTAACATGTTTTTTTTTCTGTTATGATATTCTCAGCTTAAAAAGGAGATACAATACCAATAGAGATATTGAATATAATTTTGCTGAAAAGAAGATAACGATTTAAGATTTAATTACTATAGCAAGGAAGTTTTATTTTTAGGCGTTACTGCAATACTCAGGTGTATCTTAGACAAGCAACAATTTATATGTAATTTATATGTACATATGAATAATTATATATAAGAAATAAAATTTGCCCAAAAAGTTTTGAAGAAAATGAAGGCAATTAAAATGAATTTGTTTACCCTCTTTTTCTGACACTCGTGTCAATTTTTTTTTACTTATCTGAAGAATTCTGTTATCGGAACCACAAAGGATTGGGTGCAGAATTTAAAGAGACGTGGGTACCGTACAAAATCGAACGATCGATACTTATCTAAGAGTCGTATTGTCATTAATCATCGACCCGCTGAATTTCAGTATTTGTTCAAAACAAGGAAGAAAAATTCCGGTCCAAGTTTCAAGCACCTTGACTAGGTAATAGCATACGAACAGAAAGAAGACGGATTTCAGTATTTTTTTTTTCAGAAGAGTGAAATAGGTATCATATAAACATCAACCACTTAACGTTCTGACATTTTCAAGAGGACAAATTCAGTATATCAAAGTTGAAAATACACTATCTTTTTGACTGGAAATAATATCAGAATGGGTATATAAAAGGTATGTATTACAGAAAAATATAATGAATATTAATACTTTGGGCTTTTGTATGAAATTTCATCTTGATAATAGAAGACGATAGGATTATTTAAAGATAGCAGAAGAGTATAGGATTATCTAAATGATGTTTTTTAACAAATTTGCGGGTTTTTATAGGTATATTCTAAACATGTCATCCAAGACAAAAATTTCAGCATCGTGAACTTCATTCAGAAATGAGTTCCACAGACACACAGAATGCGTCCTCTTCTAAGGAAAATGAGAGTAGTCAGAGAGAAAAAGAGGTAAGATAAAATTATCAATGAAAATTAAAATTAAAATGATGAAAATAAAAGAAAAATTTTCCAGGTACTTGTACGTTAAACTATTGTGTGAATATATATCATTATTTACAGAGAATATTCCTACAATATCACGTTCATACATGTAAGAGCCTTATGTATATCTGTACATCTTGTGAATGCCAGTATTTACCAGTATATGTCAAATAACTGGCGCGCTGCTATTTGTTACGTATTGTGTAGAACACTTCGTCATGGTTGAGCCATTGAATGCTTGATCTTTAAACTATTTTTTTGTCCTTTGTACTGAAATAGCAGATATGGTACCTTTTGTGACTTGGGGGTGTTTATTATGGATTTTTTTAATACTTATTAAACACATTTTTTTTTATATTTCTTGCCACTTTAATTGAAACAGAATATATTTATTAAAACAAAACAGATGATTTCATCTTTTATGATAGTTGAATTAATCAATTTTTTGATATATTATATCCTTTTTTTTTCATATTTTCAGTAATGTTTTTGATTATCAAAATTCTCCCTTGATATTAAATAAGACAAATTCCTACTCTTTGTTTTCAATTTTGCTATTTGACGCTAATTTGATTGATATATAGCCCATGCAGAAGCTACACGAATATGTATTCATGCATCATGTCAAGGAAATACGAAGGTTGTCCCAAAAGAGTCGTAGACAATGTTCATAACTTTGTATATATTCAACCAATGCTAACCAAATTTTGCATAGCTATAATTTATTCAATGTTTCTTAAAATAGTGAATTTTTAAAATAAATGTCTTCCATAGTAATAATATTATGATGATTTATAAGAAGTCCGATACTAATATATGATCTGTCGGCGCCCGAACAAAATCCGGAATAAATTACGTATGTAACTATTCAAATTGCATTTGTTTCTCTGATAATATGTAGAACATAACACTCAAATATATGACAGTTAAACCAGAAACAAAATCTCAGTAATATGTCAGATTTTCACATAAATAGCCTCAGAGACAGAGGATTGGTGTCGTACTTATCAAAGTGTTGTTGGAATTGAGTTTGCTGCAAATGACATTATCAAACGCGTTTGCGGCGCACGTGGATGTACTAAAATTGTTTTGAATGCTGTTTGTTCTCTTCAGAGACGGAAAACGATATAGAAGCGACATTACATTCTAAAATTTAGTGTTAGTAGAGAAGTTGTTTAAAAAATGGGATAAGAGATTCAAGGACAGTTTCCACCTCCGCACCGAAAATAGATGGCCTATAAGAAGTAAAGATCTGTTGTTAAATTCAGACGGTGAGAAAACGTTATGGGTCACGATCGACGTCAAACTTCGTGGATTCTCTGCTTCTTACAGTTTATGGCAACCTTTCGAGAACTGAAATTTGAATTTGATAAAAAATTATGGACAGTGGTGAATTCTAATGATCCCTCAGTCGAGAATGGTTTGCCAGTTTGAAAAAATATGAGATGCTTAAGAGACGCATGTTAAGCACACGGGCAGTACTTAAAAATGAACATGTCGTTATAAGAGAAGTGAATTACGTTTGCTTTCGTGCGCCGACGTACAATTGTATGCTTTCTTTATTTTTGCATTACTTTCTTATTAAATGTGTTTTTATCTTGAAAATTGAAATTTGTGATCATTAAATGTTGCTTTTTACTATGTCAGGAAAAGAAATTTAATCTGGCAAAGAGAAACTAAATTTTTTTTCTGTCTCTGACTTTTTGGGACAACCCTCGTATAGAGATTTTTAGATGTAACCCAAACCAATCTAACTTTTCCTCAAATAGAGGTTTATTTTTAATATCGAACTAATTCAGGTTAAACGGTTTTCCAGAGAGTAAGAAAGAGGCCATACATGAAATATTAACGCGAGTGTTCAATTAAGTATTATTTTTTTCTAGCATATTCTTGCAATAATTAAGAAACAGCTATATATTCCCCTACATGTTAAATACTCAGATGTGCTTTTGAAAGATTAGAAAAATATAACTGACATTTTTTTTATCATTTTCATTAGAAATGAACATTAATTGATAAATTATTCTCACGTTTATCTGTTACTTGAACATTTATTCTAAGCATACTACAAACACCACAGATGAATTATGAATGTATAATTTAGTTTTCATGTGAAATTAGGTATAGCATTTAAGATAACACCTTTTATCATTTCGTTTTTTCTGTGTAATAAACACTTTACTATATGCATACATGCTGCACGTTTACAGACGTAGAATTTTCATATCAGCAAAAGGCCTCCCCTGAAGGGAATTGGACTTTGGTCTACAGATTGATTGAACCCCTTGTCTACTTTCTTGCGGTCTATTTGTCAAACACGGTTTTTGACTTCATTGTGGAAATTGATCATTTAAAAAATATGCATGCTAGAATTATAATTTTAAAAAAGAAAAAACAAATAAATCGAGAGAGAGAGAGAGAGGGAGAGAGAGAATAAAATAATAAATTAGAATTTTTAATGACTTTATTATTTTCGTTTCTTAAAAAAATATTTAAATTTTCAGCTTCTTGCTATTCGTCTTCAAAGAGCAATAAGAGAGAAAAAGATATCGGAGGCTAAGAAACTGTTGGAGGAGAAACCCGACATACACTATAAAGATAAGGTACTTATTAATAAATGATTGGACATCGTTTGATTTGATGAACGCACATGTAACATTAATGGTGTCAATATAAATATTGAAATTTATCCCTTTAAGAATAAAAAAAGTAGTAAGCTTTATTCATTTATGAATTTAAATATAAAATATATACCAGGAGGTAGAAGTACAGTTATATATCATAGACGAAAAAATTGATTTTTTAGAAATCATGAATTTCAAAGGTAACATTATTAAAAAGTTTATATAAATACATGTATTGTTCCAGATTGGGTGTCAATGTTTACATTATGCAGCACAAGAAGGCCTTCTAGAAATTGTTAAATTACTCCTAGAGGCAGGAGCGCATGTGAACTGTTTTGATCACGTATGTATTTCATATATTTCAATTTAATTTAAAGTGAATGAGATAAATATTTAATAACATTTATTTTATTTAATTCACTTTTCAAAATACAAACATGGCTCCCGAGGTAAAGAATAGATATCATTGATGGCACCATGCCAAATAAATTGCACTGACGCGCTTTGAGTGTTCTCAAATATGAAAACTTATTTACAGCATGTCTTTTGAAGAGAGTGTATATAGAATGTCAAAAGAAAAGTAAATAAAGCACTAGTCTACTAATCAATTCAAAGATTGAAAGTAATAATTTTAGACAGACATATTTTCCCAGTTTATTTACTTTTAATAATTATATATTCGTTTTGAAACGAATAAGCTATTTTTTAATGGGTAAATATTGTGTATTATTGGACATAAAAGAAAACGAGGTTATTTGATATAGCCTATTGAAGACAATATATTGAATACTAATATCGTATAGAACTGCACCTAAGAATTCTAATTGGACATGTATATGATTGTGTGCATGCCATGATCTCTGTATATCACGTGGTAAGAAGGTTTTTTTTTTTATCATCCTTTCCTAAGTAAAAATCTTTTCATGACTAAAGAAAAACTTGTAGACAATGCACTGTTAGGCTTATATAGAGGTGGATATTTATATACAGTTCGGTATGACGATACAGGGTATTTTTCATGTTATGATTTCGAATAAAATCCGATAGAAAAAAATGCCATAGACATTTGCTCATACTTTCGTTAAGCCTTTTAAGGTACAGTGTATCTTATATTTTTATAATGTATCTAATAGGAAAATAGAGAAATCAAAGAGGAAAAAAAGTGTTACCTTCGAGCGACAGATCGAGAAAAACTCCGCAATAGTGAAAAAGATTTTGAATAAAACTGAAAAGCCATTCAGAAAAAAGCTTAATAAATAAATAAAAATTCTGATGGTTTTAAGACGATTGTTCTTCTTATAATATCTTAAAACAATTACCATGTAACAGAATTAGTTTTTCTTGGACATTATATCTCTTTTAAGAATAAATAAAGAAAATAAGTTCTAAATTTTAGAGGTATGATTGAACAATTTTGGATGAGATCTTTTAACCTTATATGATTTTTTAAGTCTTGTTGAGGTTTTACTCATTTCTAATTTGTAGAATGGACAGTCACCCCTGCATAAAGCTTCATCCCGGGGACATTTAGATGTAGTTATAAACCTGGTGGCCAATGGCGCTCAAGTAGCATCATTAGATTGGGTAGGAATTGACGAATGTTGCCTCTTTTTATCAACAATATTCAAAATTGTTTAATAATAATATTAAAGGTCCTCTCATATAACTGGATTTGAAAAAAATCGTAACATGTATTACTATATTCAGATATGAAACAGTTTTATGATTTTTGAAGAATCTCATGCTTGTATGTATGTTACATTGGTAAATTTCAGGATAACCACACTCCATTTGAGAAGGCAGTCCTGTCACGCTCTGTGGATGTTGTCGAATGGTTGCTTACGTTTGGTGCAGAACCGAACTTACAGGATTGGGTATGTATTCATTAACATTCCCAGAATTATGAATCAAATACAGTAATTACAGATTAACACAAATAATAGCAAAATTACGATTGATATCGTCCCCGTTCATCAAATTAAATTCATATAAACTTTTATGCTTATATTCAAGGTAAATATTAAAATTTATATACTGAATTCATTTAAAATATTTTTCACTTCCATTATGTAAGATTACATAGTATGAGTCTCTTGATGTTCATTTTGACATGAATAAATTGAATATTAAATATATTTGATTTTGAGAATTTACACCCATTAACTACTTGTATTTACTACTTTACTGTTTTTATTTATCTTTAGACATGGGTTATGGACATGAAAGAAAAGGAGAAGAAAATTCAAGAGCTTATAACAAACCACATCCCCCTTGTTCCTGGTTACAAATACGAGTATGTTGATTATTTTCCCTGTAGTGAATATGTATCTCTTTGCATATCCTTTTCTATCATTAAGTGTTCAGACTGGTGCAACCTTAATATATTTGTAAATCTTTTTTTTTTTAAAAAATATGTTACCTTTTAAGGGGGATAAAGTTTGAAGTGGTGTATGTGAAACCTAACGAGGATTGTGTCATGGAGAAGTTGAAGCTGACACTGAAAGCGATGGATGCTCGAAATCCCTTTATTGTTTTCTGTCGAAAAATGCAATCGGAGTACACAGAGCTTAAATCGCTGCTACATGATGAACAAATACCCTACAGTGATATGTTTGAAATTCGACAATGGGGAGCAACTCGTAAGAACATCACTTTGTCGTTACTTGTTGAAGGAGTTCCTAAATGCAATGAACATTTATCTGTTGTGTCACCTCATGGGCAGATTGGTCGTGTAGACAACTTCGTAAAGAACGAAGAAGAAAATGTAAGTGATCTCCACAATGACAATTTTTCTCAACCAATCTATGATTGTTAATGTGAGTTGTTGGAAATCTATTGTTAACGTACAATGTACATGTACTGCTGTTGGATGATATAATTTTAAAAAGAATTTCTTTTTAGACGACAGAAGTAATCATAACAATAAAAATGAATACCAAAGGATCCACACAATTCGCAATTGTTAGCGTCTTCAAGAAAGAGACGTTTGCAATATCAAAAGAAGAAGTCGTCATCCAACCGACCTCAGAACCCGAAGCAGAAATCGAAATTCCGAAGGGAACCTTTGATAAAGCGGCAGAACTTCAACTAAATGTAAGAAAACAATTGGTGGTTCTACCTTACCTTTTTGCTTATTCCATTGTATGAAAAAAAACTAGCATCATAATATTTGTGCGGAATGCTCTGACGGTGTTTTGGATGACAAAATAATTCTCACTTGTGTAAGCTTTGATACATACTGCAGGAACAGAGGAAGTAAGCGTGTTCAGATATAATTATGAATCGTCATATCACATTGATTGTGTTCATGATAAAACAAAAACAAAGTATATAAATAAATAAATAAATACCTTTTATTGTTTTAAAGGTGGTTGACACAAAAGATGTGAATGAGGACGAGGTAGATGAGACTGGACCTCTTTTGATGACAAATGTAATCGATATGTCGATGAGTGATGGACAGCAACCAAAAGAGGAGATTGTGATGAAATTACCAATCCATCAGAAAGGTGGTGAAGAGGAGGAAATGTGTGTTTTGGCTACCTCAGAGGAATATCCAGACGATGCAGACGATTGGGAGGTTAATGTTAAGAAGTTTGCGTTTCGTTACTTTCTTTACGCTAACATGTACCTGTTTTCTTTATGAGAGATAAACTTCAATGTTTGATGGTTATTAAATAAGCTTAATTTTGAGGAAAATTGTTGTCAAAATTCATTTTGATTAATTTTAAAATCAAAGGAAAGCAGGAACAAGAATTCATTTTGTATTTGTTTAATTAACAGATAATTGAAGCTCAGAAAGATCCAAAAGGAAAAGCTGCTGTTTTCAGGATAAAACATTTCTCTATGTAAGAAACAGATCTTGACTAAAATATATTGTTTTCTAGTTCATCAAAACAACTCGATTCATACTCTCATCAACACTCTAACTATAATGAATTTCATCATCAGCAATATCACCATCTTGGGCATCTTTTTTACTCATCAAATTCATAAGCACATGAAACGAATTTTACTACATGTATTTTCATTATTGTTGAACAAGAAATTCATCAGGTACGGTTATCTTAAAATTAGCACAAAAGGATTCAAAACACAAGAGTCTTAGTTGAGGTGACAACGAATCTTGAAGTAATAATTTTCCCCCAACATTTTGAGAATCTTTGAATTTGGTTAAATGATTTCTCTTTGACGTCTTAGTTCCATTTCTTATCATTAAAATAATTTGGAAAGAAATGTTTAGAGAGTACTTTATTTTAATACCAGTCTCATAATCTGCAGTCCACCGTTATTAAAGAAGTATGTTTCATGAAAAGAAAACGTATGAGATGTATAAAAAGTGAAATTTTTATGTTTTTATGCATTCACATTACATGTAATCATATATGACAAGTACAAGATTTGCAGTTATGCCGGTGCTAGCAAGAAAAAGGCTCTGGAGGAAAAACAAGAAGTTGTGGAAGCCATTTCGCGTTCCATTCGAAAGGAGAGGAAGGTTGAATTTCGTGTTTACACACGACTGGAGCAAGAAAGAGGAAAATTTCAATTCATCCTCGAGTGCTGGACACCAAAGAAGCTCAAAAAGAGCAAATCAAAGTGGGAAAGTGAGGGTTGTGAAATTGTGAATGGTCCAGAGGGAACCTATATTATAGAGGAAAATCAAACTTTTAAGGTACAGTTACTATGAATGCATTAATATTGCCCCGATGCAATTTTGCTTCACTTTTCTTCCCCGGTAAGAAAGTATTTTTGGGGAGGGGGGGGGTTTGGAAAAAATTACAGACATATCTGTTGAGATCTCCACTAACAATGAATATAAGTACTGATATTATAACAAATGATATTGTTGCACTTAAGGGGGGATTCTTCTCGTATTTAAAAATTAATGAAATTTTCATAGATTCAAGAAGACATTATCATTAAGTAATAATATCAATTAGATTAAAGAGCAAAATCCACAAACCATCAAAAATGGCCTCATTCCAAAAATTAACGTGGTCTTTATTATAGACAGTGTCGACTTTTAGCTTTTCATAACCGTTTTTCTTTTTTCGATATCTTTTATACTTTTTTTAAAAGGAGATCTTGCAGTATGGCAGTGTTTTGATGGAAAAATGCAATAGGAACGTCATTTTTTGTCATGTAACGTCACGTCAAAAGGCGATAGAAATGATCATCGGATTATAATGTACCGATATATGAACACGGGACTTGAAATTAAATAATTGGGAATAGACATTTATCTTATCAACATCATAATCAATTTATGATTATATTAAAATGCAGATAAAGATGTTCATTTTATATACATATGTACATGTACCAGTCAATTCCCCACCTAAGAATAAACAGAGTATATAAGAAGTATAACCTGATATGTTGTTCAAAATATGTCTTTACTGCAAGAAATTAATAAAAACAGAAATTTGTGCTTTTACCCATTTTGAATGTTTTTATACAAAGAAAGTACATGTGACATTTAGATAAATTCTTATCTATATTGCTAACGCGTGCGGGAGATTCGGCCGCAACTCAACCTCACGGATAGTGTATTTATTTAATTTTATTATTTAAAAAAAAATAAATTGGTGATTCGTGCCGGGTTGTAGAGATAAGTGATGTTTCCTTTTTTCTCAAAACATATCATTATCGATAGATCTATAAATATAATTAATTTAATATGCTTTCCTATATGTTACTATGACATTCACTACTTTGTTATTCATTTTCACGTTATGATTTTTATGTGTACAAATAGAGCAGTTCTGCGTACGTAAACCAAAGCTTATAAATATACATGTCAAGATAGTAATTGAAATACATGTACAGGCAAGAACATTTTACTTACTCGGCGCAAGATTGATTTTACATGAACAAGGCCCTACCACAGGCATGATAAGAGAAGAGGATAAAACAATCTCTATTGTTCCTGTAATAGGGAATATTTCTGTGGTGAACAGTGGCAGATGTAAAATGGGATGGGGAGGTGTAATATAAAACACAAACACACACACTAACTTCTATTTCGTTGCAGCAAAAATAGCTGTAAATACCGTAACTTGCAGACATGTGTTCAGGAACATGTTTCAGGGGTTGTCTTGTACATATTCTACATTGCACTGACTATACATTTGAGTTGACAAACACAGAGTCTCTCCCTGTGCCTAGTTAATCATATAGTCATGAATTGTAGCTTTAAATAAATCCCATACTTCAAATCAATGCTGATAAAATTGCATGCATATGTAATGCACTTATGATTTAATGTCAAGCAAAGTAAACCCCACCACACCCCTTCTCATTTTGTGGTGAGAAACAACCAATCTCGGTAGCGGATCCAGTGGGAGTTAAGATTTCAGAGTAATTAAATGTAAAGTAAGAAAAAAAATTAACTTGCCACCCCTCCCCCCATTCCCACCCCACCCCAAAGGATCTGCATTTGGTCAGAAGAAACGTGTATAAAAAGACTGCTTGCCAAAGAGAAGTGTCCAACCCCCCCCCCCCTCCTCCCGATTAGGTTTTTCGCGTTGAAACTGTTTTTCCCTTGTCAAAAAAATTAAGTCGGATTTTTTTGGAGTGGGTTTAGTTCCCCCACACCTTCCTAAAAAATCCATGGACCCATCGTTGACTTTATTTTTTTTTTTTTTTACTGAAATGCCTCAATCATACTGCCAAAAAAAAAAAAAGAATAAACAAATAAATAAATAAAAATTAGGATTTCGAATGAAAGACTCTTCTGAGAAAAAAAGCCCCCTTTTGAATACTACGTGCCTGAAAATTAAGCCATTCTATGTATATCAGGCCCGTAGGAAGCAATTTCAGTTTGGAGGGGGGAAGGGGGGGGCACAGCCATACATTTTCAGTTTTTTTTTGTGGGGTGGGGCACTATTAACTACCAAGATTTCGTTGAAGAGCAAAAGAAAAGTCATCAGACGTTTTTATTAAGGGGGCACAAACATATAGTAGCTAGGTTTTCTATAGTAATCTATATATGGGGGGGGGAGGGAGGCATGCTCCCCCGGTTCCTAACTTCCTACGGCCATGTATATTGTGTTAAAATGTTAATCAGTGTACAGTCATTTGTAACGAGGGTTGTACTGGTCAATAAAACTTGACAATAACAATTAATACATAAGACTGTGGTAATTACCATAGATCTACAGATTTTACTCGTTATAGACAATTGAATAATTATGAATTTTTTGAAACATACATGTATCAATTTCCCTTTCTTCTTTCTTGTCAAAGTGTATGACATTTTTTTTTGGCTCGTCATCTCATTTTTCTTGCTGACACCACCCCTACCTCTTTTTAAAAAAAACGATGCCCTGTATACCTGAATATTTTTAGTAAATTCCATAGGGACACATAATTAAAATATGCATTTTGCTTCTGGAAACACATTTGAAGTATGTCACATAAACGAAAGTACGTGTATCAAAACAAATACTGTCGACATAAATAAAAGATATACCAGCAAATATACTTTGAATATTTTATTTAGTCAGAAACCAGACAAGTATTCTTCCTTTGAAAAAGGATGACAATTACTTTTCACTCTTTTATATGCATGTGCATTAGAATTATTTGATTGGCATGTACCTACAAAAATAAAGATTGATTGCGACTACATGTTTTTACAAATTTTCTGTTTGTTTCAACATGGGGATTCGTCAAAGACATGTGCGTTTTACGCACCCGCATATGAGTTCTATTTTGGATCCATTTTACAGAAAATCTCAATGTTAAAATTTGTAATGATTTTTTAATTTTTTTTCCTCTTTCTAAATAATACATTTAACAAAACAACAGCAAGCTAGGTCCATAAAAGAATTAGAAAACTTTTTTTTAAATTTAGCAAAACCACAATGATTACATCCTTTTTGACGTCACAAATGACGTATATAATGAGTGACGTCACGTACAACATAGATGATCATAAAAGTTTTTTCCAATTTCGATTTCAGAAAATGTAATTTATAGATTCTGGTTCCACTTTATCGTTTGCACATGAAACAAACAATCGGGTGCTTCTCTATCACCTTGTGTGTTATCTATGTATCTTAATATGAGTAATATGAAGCACCCATTAAGGATTGATTATCAACAATATATTATTGATTCTTGAAGGTATCAAAATAAACTGATATAAAGTCAAATTTCGTATTTGCCACAAGCAGGACCAACGAAAATAATGGGCATGTACATTTGTATTTGTGGTATATATACAGATTGTAAGTATGACAATTGTTCTTGCCTGTGGCCTCGTCTTCGAAAAAAAATCTGTCGAAAAATCAACATTTTTTTATCGCATTTTAGAAACCATCACATGTTCTAATCGTCAGATGTGCCTATCGGCGCATCATATAACATTTTTTTTTGACATGTGGGATAGAAGTATGTTGTCCACTTACCCAATAAATATAATACCCCTCTTGAACCGATGCTTTAAATTTGTGTAAAACACCAGGAAATACATGTATATGATAGTTCTTTCAAACGCAAGGATTTTTCTCTTTTTTCAACAAGAGCACACTCGTTACGGGTAAATATTTTCATTGGAAAACATTTCTCGAATAGTGAGTGTTACTTTTCTGTTTTAATATTTTGCCGTAACGAATGTGCCCTATGTGTAAATCACGATTAACTGTGCAATTTTCGACATTTTCCCGGAAAACCTCGAACCATGGTTAGGTTTAGAATTTAGTTTGACATCATTAACATCCGGTTTCGACGGCATTGTTACACGTGTGAAATGTGTCAATGTTCTAGGGTGCGAATTGCCAAAAACATTTATTCTAAAGTCCTCTTTAATTTTTTCATATTTGCTAGGCCATATCTATAAGGCATATTGTGGGTTGAGTTCTTTGACCGTTTTATTTTGATAGCAAGGTCAGGTCAAGTTCATTTTCTTTTTCCTTGACCTTAAGAATAAAAAATTACTGTTGCCAATCATGCGATGCCTTCTCCTATTTCAAAAGATAAAATGTTTTTCTTTTTGCATAAAAAGATATTAACATATACGGTCTATCAGATGATACTACCAAACTGACATAAATAATTTAACTCAAATAGATATTGGTTAATCCGAATATCCTCTATTTTTGTTAGATTTTTAGGATATACTAGCTATTTTTATATGCTTCGAATATTTAAATTTTTCTTATTTTCACATATGGTAAAGTAGTCATATAAAGATACAAACTGATACAAAAGCAAAAAGTTTTGACCGTTTACTAAGAGAAAAAAAAAAAAATTACGGATTTTTTGCTCAAACATGTACTTAGATTGAAAGTTTTTTTAAAAGTTAACAAAATTGTAGTTTGTAGGGAAAATCATATTTATATGATATATATTTCAAAACTTGAGTCCATTATTATTAATTTTACTTACATAAGAAATTTTCTTTAAGTCTTTGATTGTTTAAAAATTTTAACTAGATTCATTTTTGTTCTATAGTAATTTTGAGAAGCAGAAAAGGAGATATTTTCATACACTGCTGTTTCGCCAAAAAAATAGTCCCTGCTAGATTTGAAACTCAGTTTACCATTTCTATTTAAAGTTGTACAATTATGTAGAGGAAAGAAAAATATGATCTTTCAAATCCCTTACATGTAAATATATAAAAAATATAAGCAAATATACTTTGAACCCATTTAAAAATGGTAACCTGCAACTTTTAGATTTAAAAACATCTTTAACTGGAATAAATAGAATACAATTTTTGTGAAAGTTACGAATCGTAAAGTTTTGATATCACTTTTGTTATATAATAATTTCAAATGAAGATTGATAACATAGAATATCAAGACACCGATTAAAAGTCATTTAGAAAAAGTCTGTGTCAATTTCATAAAGGCTACAAAATGTATAATTCTAAGAGAAAAATACTAACATAGCATTGGTGAAGCGTTAGAACGTTACTCTTTTGCCCCGAAAAAAATCATCAGAAAAAATATAATCTGTCGGGATTCTTAGATACGATTGTTAAAATATGTCATACCATTTGTCTTAGGAGACGTGTATTCTAGCCACAATTTTTTTTCAGGATTGGGGTATTTTAGTCTTCAACGAGTTATATTTCTACAAAATTCACACTACAGGAATATGCAGTACAAACTGAGGAGTATATAATGTTTTGCGTGATCTGTAGCTATTTAAATTATTTTTTTTCGTAAAGTTCACCTTTCTATTTGTTTACTAGTAAATGGAATCCTTTGAACTATAGTAACTTCAGGAATGTTAAAGGTTATGGATTTTGTATTGGATCCTGATGAAAAATAATTGCCCTTGTTCAAAAAACTTTCATATATTCATATTTTATTTTGTATCAATACGGAAAGAGGTCTATGAGGTCATTTAAGACATCCCCCCTCCCGAATATATGTTTATATAATGCTTTATATATTTTTCTATATGTGTCCATTTATTTTTGTAGCTGTTGTTTAAAGGGAACTGCAGAAAAATCTCCAGCGAAACAAGTAAAGATAAGGAAGATGAAGACGAGGACGAGGATGGCGATGAGAATGACAAAAGAGAAAATGATAACGAGGGAGACGATTCAGTTGCCATGGATTTTATCGGCAAAAAAGGTAAATAGCTCTTCTATAACCTGCACGCATTGCTATATTTTATTAAAGTCACCTCTGTGCACAGGTAAGAAATTAAAAGGGCATCTTAAATTACACTTTTACAATTTAGAGCCAAGGTTGTAAAGGGAAAATTACTTATATATTTTTAACAATTGTTTGACACGTAATTACGTGTGCTGTTGAATGAAGGAAAGAATGTTTTGGTAAATGATGCATGTAATTTGTTTGGAAAACAACGTTATTTTTTAAACATCATTGTAATGCATTACCATTGACTACCAAGTATAACTTCCACACAATAAATTGTTTATGTTTTCAAGGTTACGCGTACACCATCGTTGATATGATTGTTCTGAACACCAACAAACCAAATGGACAGGTAACAATTGAAAAAGAACATCGCACAATTGAGAAGGTAGAAGAAATCAAGATTGTTCCCGGAGGACTATGTGGGGCAAAGGAGCAGAAAGAAATTGTTGATAAAGTGAAATTCGAGTTTGAGAAACTTATAGACTTTCCTTTAGGAGTCAAACTTCCTCCACCTCCAAAACCTTTGCGAGAACGTAAGGGGAAAATGTTTCCAAAGTTATTTGTATTTTACTCATTAGAATGTTCGCAGTGCTAATTATTTGTACTATATAATGAACAAGTTACATTTATTCCAGGACAAGCTTTAATTCAAAGAGGCTGGGGGGTTGTGGCCATTTTTAGACTATATTGATCTCCTTTAGAAGAAGAGCTCCATATGAAGATATAGAAAATGATCAAATTTTAAAACTAAAATTTTTGAAATTTTTCTTTGCCAAATGATAGTTGACAGCTTAAGATATCATATCTAAAAAATTAAGTTAAATCTGGTGGTTAATTTGTGGTTAATTTGTTGACCCCCCAGCCTCCTTAAGATTATTGAAATATCAGTCTTCTTTTATATAAAAGACTAATATCATTTACATTTTTTAAAGACTAATATCATTTACATTTTTTAATTTTTTTTTTAGCCACAAGTTTACAAATGGAGTCATTCATTGAGGAGGAGAAGAAGTTACAGGAATTCATTGAAAAAACAGACTTAGAACATCCAAGTATGTATTGGGATAGACGAATTTTCATTTCTTGTTAGTCATTCTCATAGTAAACACTTGCTGAAAGAGCTGTACCACTCGAAGCCAGTGGATAAGCGTTTAATTTTACCAACGTACGAGTATATTTCCCTAGGGCTAGACAACAAATTTTGTTCCCCGGTTTGCTCTGTGGAACTCTCCACTGAATTAATTACATGAAATAATATTTGTCGTCACGCTTTGAATGTGATTTCTTAGAGGGGTGAATAGCTTTACTATACGTGAACTCATGTTCTGAATGAAATTGGTTGTTTATAGAGTATAGGGTATATTTAAGGACATACGCAACATAGTTTTAACTATATCTTTTTCCCTGGAATTGAAGAGTTCTAATACTTAAAGGAACTGTGTGCAACATTTTCATGTCTATATGCAGTTGTACACTTCTTCAAAAATAAGTTTGGATAAACAAAACATCTAGAATATATATTTAGTAATTTTTGTATATTTTTTTTTCCTTTGAATTATACAAGAATTTTCATCAATGGATATCTTTTCAAAACCTTTAGTAATGCATGCTGATTTTTTGTCTATGAACATTTGATGGCACTATAATCTTAAATTAAGAATATCTTGAAAAATTATAAGGTACGTTGCGTATATCCTTAAACATTAGATTGTATATATCACCATATATCATCTAAGATATACAAATTAATGTTTGAAAAAAAACTGAAAACTAACAATCATTACGTAATGATAGCATTCTTTTTTAAACATAAACATACGTTGTTTTTTTTTTTATTTAAAGGCTTTGTGCCAGGAATGGATATGAAAAATCTTTCATCAATCGCCCTTCAGCTATCCGAGGAGGAGGCCAGAATATTTGCAAAGAATTTGGGAATGTCAAACGAATCTATTGAAACATATATGGACATGCCTTTCGGAGCTGTATGCATGATCAGACACTACCGAGGAAAACGTCCTCATTTCTCACAAAAATACAGAATCAAAGACGCATTGTTGGCTATTGATCGACAAGATCTTGTGCCGTTGATTATTCCCCCGGAAGAGGAAAAATCTGCAAAGTCGATTCTTCCTGGTGAAGTCATGGAAGAGAAAACTGATATACCGTCAAGTTCTCTGCATGGTGAAGTCATGGGGAAAGAAGACCCGGCTTATCCTGAACAAGATCCCCCTCAAACAAATGAAATAGAAAAGAATGAGACGGATGTAGTTGAAGATGAAATTACTGCAGGTGATGAGTAGATAATTACAGACAATGAAGAAATAATTGAACCTTTTGCTGTCTGATTTACGTTTGCATTTTGAACATAATGTAATTGTCTTTTATTACGATTTCTTGTGTTTTATATTCATTTTTATCAAAACGAGCATGCTTTTTATATCCGTCAAATTTATCATGAAAAGTAATATATTCATCATTATATAAGATAATGAACAGTAAAATTGATGTTGGTTGAAGAGGCATTCTTTGTTTCCATAAATGTACTTATTTCTAAAATTTATTTGTAGTTGGGGTATGTCATATACTTGTTTAAGTCTTTCTATTTGATTCATTTTTTATATAAATTTTTTTTTTTGGTTTGAAAGTCTTGACTCATGTTTTGTGCTTTAGTCGGCAATTCTATTATTTGTTTTGTAGAGGAGTATTGGAATAAAGGTAGAGTAATTCCAGTTAAAAGCACTTCACATCCTTTTCGCCACCTGGTGTTTAATATTTTCCCTGAATTAACATTTTTCACTGTTATTCTTATTAGAAAATTGCACATTTAGCAAAAAATCTTTTCAGCACATGTTTGCAGTTTGATATTGACCTTGAATTGCTCTTTTGAAATAGAAACATTTGGAAATAAAAATTAAAATATATAGAGAACATTTTTAAAGAATTCAAAGTTGAATAAAATCATGATCTGGAAAGGGGGAATATGATCTGCCTTAATTGCATTAAGATGATAAAAATTATTTTGTATAACAAACTGTTGGACAGAAGCACAATTTTAAAAGGTACGTGTACACGATTAATAATATACCCAAATTTCTGAGAGCAATTCATCCCAATATGCATAGTGAAGCACACGATGGTCCAAGTTTTTCCACAATTCTTTTAAACAGGACTGGACAGTAATATTTAAATGATGTCTGTTTGGAATTTACACGTCTTAAAAATGCATTTGATTTAAGAAAGATTTAAACAATAATGAAAGTGAAAGGTTTGTATGGCTTTGAAGAAGATGATTGATTGATTGATTGTTTGTTGTTTAACGTCCCTCTCGAGAATATTTCACTCATATGGAGACGCCACCATTTGCCGGTGGAGAGCTGCAAATTTTGTCCTATACTCGGCACTTACGGCCATTGAGCAGTGAGGGATCTTTTTCGTGCCAGCACCTACTGCAACACGGGACCTCGGTTTATACGGTCTCATCCGAAGGACCGGTCTCCACGTCCCACAGTGGGATTCGAACCCGCGACGTAAGGATCAACTCCTTATTTCGCGACTCTAGAGCAGACGCTCTGACCACTGCGCCACGCGGGCCACGCTTTGAAGAAGAAATCATATAAAGGTGTACATATTGAGTTTATCTACCCTTTCTTCGATAAAGGGTATCTGCCATATTTCCCCAGATAAAAAAATCCAAGACAATAAAGTACTAGTGATCTGAAGGATTCGGACATGTATGTAAATTATGTATTCAAATGTTTCTTATTTCGATCTATTGTAATGTAAAGAATTTAATTTGGGCTCCTTTGTGTGTAATGTTTATTACGTTTATCAATCATTCATTTGTTTTATAATTCAGTTTAGTGTGTTATGTTTATTTCGTTTATCTCGCAAATGTTTACTATTCATAAAATATTGTAAAACATTGCCAACCCCGAGTCAAATGAACTGAAGTTTGCGTTGCAATAGACAAGGTGTGGGATTTAGCTTAGTCAATGGATAAAAATATTTTATCATATTGTTTATTCATCATTGACTCAAATCTTTTAATGTGCGATTAAATTTTGAAAACGCTATGATGTTTTCATATCATTTTGATAGATACCTCCTAGAAACCTTATAATGTAAGAAACTTATCCTTCTCCTTTCATTTTAATCAATTTTCTGTATCAAAGAGCAAGGGTTGAAAGAAAATTTACCGCTGTCAATATATTAGCATTGAAATAATTTAAGAAGACGAATTAAAATTTATCAACGAAACAATTTTGTATTAGCATCCTGAAGAAACTTTAATAATACCTTTGCAACGAAACCTACAGATAAAGGTCATTATACTACAAATATATATATATATATATATATATATATATATATATATATATATATATATATATATATATATATATATATATATATATATATATATATATATATATATATATATATATATTCAAGATAATGACCCAAGACAGGTCAATTTCAGGGGATGCTTACTCCTCCTAGGCAACTGATCCCAACTCTGGAATTTTCTTGGGTCCGTATTTATGTCCTGTATACGGATTCGTGTAGTTTGTGGTTTTTGTTAGATCGATCACTGTTTGTTTTCTTCAGCCTTTTTCATTATTGCCTTTTTCAAGTGAGTTTGTATTTTCCTCCGCCTTCAATTTATACATTGAATCAGTCTATACCTGCAAGGTATTAGACAAAGAATATGTGACTTCAACTTCAAGTGTATAAATAAGTTTTTGTACAATACAATTGATAAGCTTTGTTGGGATAAGAAGAATAATATTCGAAGCATCAAGTGGTAGATAACTGTAAGAATATAACCAATATTTACATTACATGTTTGTAGGCATACAAGAATAATATTCGAAGCATCAAGTGGTGAATAACTGAAAGAATATAACCAATATTTACATTACATGTTTGTAGGCATACAGTATCCAAGGTATTTGAGTGCACTTCAAACATTCTGAAAAAAGCGTTTTAAAGTAAAAACAATTATAACTTTATTTATCTCTTAAGCTACACTTTTCAATTCATATTCCATAAGTATTATAATAGAATTAACTGATAACAATATTCAGCTATAAAAAGAATGAGATGTGAGACAACATTTCATGAGATCGTGCGTAGAAAGATAAAGGAAGTTCAGATCTCTTAACTTTACTTTATGAAAAGAATTAGCCAAAAATATTTTCATATTTAAATTACAAATAACTGTCTTTAGATGGGCTTTAAATATGTATCAAATTTGAGGTTATTCTGTGCACTGATCCATCACTTCTACTTGTAATTGCAGTGTTAACTGCGTTATTTATTAGCAAAGTACATGATGACCGAGAAATATTTCTCCTTTACATTAAGGATATTTACAATCATGTATCTACAAAATAAAACTCTTATATGCATATATCAGACAATATTAATAAAAATACTAAATATAAGGTTCAGCAATTTAGGATATACAATTCAAAATTGAATCAAGCTTTGACGAAACCAGAGGTACTTTCATTGGAAATTAAGGAAAACAATACCTTGATTGTAGTTAAATGTTAGCCATTTTAAGGCATGAACCATTCTAGTGAATTTGTGTGCAATTATTTTTTCAATGTTTGAGGAATTAAGCTTTGCAGAACTTTCTTTAGGAAAAGAGCTACATATGCTGTCCTTTGTTTAAGTTAAGAATTTGTACCCTCCCCTCACATCAGTCCTCTAGAATTTAAAGTGTTATTATGAACTTCCCCGGTGTTTTCTATTTTATATATATAAAAATTAAATGTTGCAAAAGAACTTTAAACATAATATTTAGGTTATTTACAAACTTAAACATCATAACACTATCAACTGCACTACACTTCTTTGAATAAAAAGATGAAGACGACGAGAAATGATTAAATTAATAAATGCTGCTATGAGTACAAATCTTGATCCGGCTAAAAACGGGTCTTTGGAAATACTAGAAGTAGGATAAGGTAACCAGGAAAATAAAATCCCCTGTCGACTGGTAACACACGCCATGAACCTTCAGAATTGATCATAGATTGATAAATGTAATTTTCCGGATACAAAATTTATATAAAATCAGTAGGTAAATAGTTGATATGAAACATATCAGTCAGATAGGATCCAATGATAGGTCGCAATTACAAGCAAGGTCATAATAGATGTATAATTTACGAAATGCTGACTTTTAACGGAATAATGGAACGTCTTTTAACATCAACGTATTTGTCAGAAGCATACTTTGATTTCAAAATTGAAAGTGCTCAGAACATGCTCTTACACGTAGAATAAACACTTATGCAAGTGCAAGCGGTATATATACTAAATAAATAGAGAAGGTTGACGACGGAAAGGCTAAAGACATACCGTTTCTCATAGATTTGTAGTTTAGTTATTAGATGGTCATTAACATCTATAATTAGTTAACATTCAGAAATAGATGAGACAGACTATGTGGTTTCTCTTATTTCCATCTCACTTGAATTAGCCGAGTAAACATATGAATGAAATTAACAAATGTTGATATAAAATTTCGTCGTTAGTGTCTAAATGTTGAGTAGAAAAGTACATGTACAACAAGAATTCTTTTCTTCCCATTTAGAAGTTTTAAAAATACATTCTGCTTTATAAAAATATAAATAAAGGGGCAGAGTTAGCCACTCTTTGGAATTCCAACATAGATGTGTCTATTAGGAATTTCAGCGTCTTTTTAAATCAACTTCAGAGTACATATACTTGTATATGGATTGAGAATGTTTTTTTTTAATAAATGAAAGCATTTTATAGCTGACCAATGGAAAAATATGAAAATTTACGAGTGCATTTCAATACAATGTACGTCACGTTAAATAAACAAAAGGTTTTTTAATATGATCATAGAAAACTGTTTCTTCGATAAAGATAAAAAATCGCAATTTCATATATCAAGGTACTCTGAAGTTAAAAGTAAAATGATATTTGGGTTCCTTATTGAAAATCTAAAAGTAGTCTTTGAAGATCAGGTCTTGCAATAACCTGTGAGAATTCCCTTTTTTTTTTGGTTATTTTTTAATTTTCTATTTTCTATTTATCTAAATTAATTCTTATGAACATAATTTCTTCATAAACTCCTACATAAAAGAAGAAAGCCCCTTCTGTGGCCTTCAATTCAATATCAAAATGCATCTTTTTTTCCATTGACAATTTTTATTTTCATTCATACGTTGTTTTGTTATATCCGGAAATAAAAGACATGAGAGATTTTGGCACATTCTTTTCATTTTGGATGTTTTACTATAAAAATACAATGATATCAAACTTAAAACTAAATTAAATTTCATGATAAATGTGATGGCCAACTTTTTCAATGTCAAATTCCTTTGTTTATGTAGCAATATATCATTGTCACCTGCATATATCTTCTAATTGATCCGATATGCAGGTGAATGTTCAGCTTACGAACAATTTCCAAGCTGATACAGGCTACTGAAAAATATGTTAAGGTCACAAGGGTGTCAGCAATCTCGC